ATATACAGTTATTTGGTAGGTACAGTGAGACGTATGAAAAGCGTACTCTCGCAGTATAATAATAGGAGAAAGCCTTCTTCTCGTTAAATTACACTAGTAACAGTGTGCATCATTTTATATAAATTGGTTCTGTAATCAGTATTATATTATTATAATTAATGATTCAGACAAACAAAATTGTCATTATACATATACATTATACAGACTAGGCAAGAGTCAAGAAGCTATGATAATTGGGGTTGAATCTATGATAATTGATAACTGGGGTTGAAGCTATGAAGCTATGAAGACAGTGGGCTGAAGCTGTAGAGATGGGGAAATGAAGCAGTGATCTTTATATTGACAGGAGCGGAAGCAGTGCTAAAACGGTAGTGACATGGCTGAAGCAAAGAGGACCGGAGTTGAAGTGGTTAAGGTGGTCTTGGACTCCGGACTCTCCGCCCGCGGGACAGCCACGCCACTATTTGGTCCAATTTTTGCTCAATTATACCAAATTTTTTATGAGCATGTTTAGAAGATTCCTTGACTCCCTATCGCTGAACATCAGCTGATCTCTCTGGTGAGTGATGCTCCCTGATGTGCAAGTTCACAGCAGAACAGTAAACAAATAAGAAGTCTCGGCTGCGTCTCCACTAACAAATTACTGACAAATATCCATCTTAACAGTCAGTATGCTGGCAACACAACTGATTGTGTCATTCACTATTCAGGCACCAGCCACCAACCATACACTCCTAAATTAGAATCGTCAGTTTCAAACCTGACACGGTTTCAGAGCATTAAACTGCGATATGGTTTTATTTCTGAGATTCCCAGCAGGACCACGAAATGACAACCATCTGACAGTGACTTGACAATCACTCCAAGACACCTGTTTAGGAGCAGTGCCTCCGAATGTTTATTGATATCTGATTATATTACAGTTCTCTATACTCCCAATATATTTTCTTCGAAAAGGAGATTCAACCAGTTTCAGTCTTACCACTTTTTTGGTGGTTCCTGTGACTATGGACAACACTTTCCTGTAGTTGTAGAGAAAACTTTGTTGTGGATTTATTCACAGACGGTCCCATAAATTTCTATTCTTGCCCTAACTAGTATGTAGGGTATACAGTATACAGGTGAGCATGTAGGGTATACAGGCAAGTATGTACTATATTGCAGGGTACACACATATACGCATAACTAAACAGGCACATAACTATTAACTATTCGACTAGAATGGGAGTCGCTAATCCCCGGTGATGTCAAAGTTTCCATGTTACCGACAGTACACTATCTATTGTAGTGGCCTGCAGAGACCGGGTGCTAATGAGAGGGAGAGCAGATGCAAATGCCGCTGGTATTTTAGTTTTACCTTTGATTTCCAGCGAGCAGTACAATGAGATTCAGTGCACTCGCACGCTTAGTTAATACGTCATGTGTGAACAATTCCTTATTGAGTAACTAGATGGTTAGTTAGTTTAAGTTAGTTAAAAGCGTCTGAGACGATTGAAACTAAGATGCCAAGACTTGGGATAAATATCTCAGAAATGTCACAAATATCTTAAGCGCACTATTATATATTCTAAAAGTTCGCCTTTTATGTTAAGTTCAATTTCATCATCATTAAATAAAGGAAAATACAAAAAAAGGAGGTGTTCAGACAACGGTGTTGATTTTATTGGATATTGAAGGCTGTTGACCTCTTCCGTAACTTTCGTTGTTGCTCATCAACCTTAAAACTTTAAAAGCCGTTGGTAAAACGTACCCGGAATTACAAGTAATATATAACTCGGGAAAATACTATATAACTCTAAATTCAACTGAGCACGATTCAAAATGGGCTAGACAGTAGAAACCGAGATAGTATATACTGGAGTATGTAATGTGATGACTGAGGAGCTACAGTGATTGTTGAACCACAGTTATATAAAAGGCTACATTCAGATAGACAAGGTTCAAGTACACCTATTATAAATATCTTATTATGAATTTGAGTCTTGGGCTGATCCTTAAATAGACCCATCTATAGTAAACGAAGTTTGCTATTATATACAGTTAACAATAGTCAATAACTGTTCACAATTCGTGGCTAGGTTTATTTAAAGAGCAAACTAAATCTCTTTGGGGCTTCAATGTTCTATCTTTTGGTGGTCACACTCACTTTGACCACAGCTCCCACTACGAAGAAAAACAAATATCTTTAAAAGAAGAACGAAGACAACTCATAATCTTTAAAAGTCACTATGTCTTCGTCAATAGCCATTTATACCCGATCCTTAGCATATCTTGAAGATCATCTATTTAGTGATAAATTGAACCTCTGCAACAACCGGAAGAGCAGTTCGTTTCGTGCATAGCCATTTAAATACTGAACATAGTACTCCGATCATTAGTACAAATTTACTCAGAGCCATCATGATAAGAACAATGCTCAACCGTAAAGTTGATAAAAACCATAACCCTTCTCCATGAGCCATAACTACAACCGTTCACGATTCTGGTTAAAGTGTACGATCAAACATAATTCAGTAATCATACACTAAAACCTTACCCTAACCTTAACTCTGAACTAAACCCTGATTGTCACTAAAATATTGCTCAAAAAGACACAAACTCCCGAAGGGTAGGGAAGAACATTAAATCCGCAACCTGCAACCTAAATAACTATTAAAGTATGAATGGTTTACAGATTTTCAAGCTGCACTGCATAGTACATACCTAGCTATTGAGGTGTAAAGATTCTGAAATCTGAACTACAATAAATATCTATTAAGTTTAATAAATACTGCGACCAGCATTGCAAGCAATGAACACTAATGTTATTAAGTGATAAAGGCGACAGTTTAATAAATCACAAAACGAGAGCGTACTACTTATCTTAGCACAACAAAAGCGACCAGCTCTCTTTACAAAGGTTAATAAAATACTTCAGGACACAGCTTCCGACCCTGGGAGTGGGTATATGTTCAGAGACTCAACAGGAGCAGCAGCATGTACAGACACCACCAACAGGAAGGCTGTCCTTTGTTGGAGAGGTGTTTAGTTAAACGGCTGCCAGTGCAGTAACTTATATTACAGAGTAGTACAGCAACTCATTACAGAACACAGGAAATTGTTCCAATAGTACATATTGGGTGCTGGGTCCTTGCAACTAGGCAAAACCTCTATTTGCAGACAGTTAATCTACACATATTTGTTAATATGATGATCGCATAACTCCATATTTGTTCTGACAACATCACATCAGAAATCCGTTACCTGCACAGCTGGCAATACTTACAGAACGCACTATAAACATCTGCTCATATTTAATCTTATATATCGAAATCTCGTGAATTTTCAACGTCATGGCCATGGCCATGCGACAATCAAAATTATAAATTCGTGAAAAATTACAAAACATGGGCTGGATCCAAAATGGCATTCAAACAGGATACAACCGTCATAGCTGTTAACAGATACGATATTATTGTTGGAACTACTTTCAGAACCGAAGACACCGGCTACTAGGGTGTCCACTGAACATCAATATCATTATGCTATCAAAAATGGATGATCATAAAATAAATTTTAACATTAGCCAAATGTATCCGTACTCTCGTGTCGTATGTACTTGTAAAGAACATAATATCGTGCAGCAGCTACTACTCCAGTGTGCTGCATATCATACAATCTATTACTGGGCGGCGCTCAGCCTGTCATTCCGCCTAATCTCTATTCGGTTTATGAACATTATAGCCTGGGGTCCCCAGGTAAACAATCTACTGTGAGCTTGAGGAGGGGTGGTTGAGACTGAAGAGGGTTATGAAGGGTAGGAGAGGGCGGTAGAGGGAGGTAGAGGGAGGTAGAGGGAGGTAGAGGGAGGTAGAGGGGAGGAAGAGGGAGGAAGAGGGGAGGAAGAGGGTCGAAGAGGTTGTCTGTCGACTAGGTGTGACAAAGAAAAAAGCGACATAATATTAAAATATTTGTCTGATAGTATTATAATTGTCGATTGGGCATGATGAATGGTTACCAAAATAGCAAAGTACAACAAAAATGTGGTCGAGAATAGTTGGGATGTACGAGCTTATTGTACGAGGAGAATTTAAACGATACAGAGGAATTTTAATTGGTATTAAGAGCAAACGTCAACGGACACATTCTGATTTTATCATGCTTAAGCATTAAGGGCAATCTTCCGGTGTAGACTCTACAATGATCAAGCAATGTGTGTTTTATAAAACTGACACTTCAGTGGAATTAGAACAGATCCAGATAGTACCGTTTACTAACTAATAATTTCGAAAAGATTATTGGCGGCCTTTTGACTGATGTTAAGCCTGCATATACTATTATATATTATGTAAGTATAAATATGAATTGCACAGCGTTGTTTCTGTTTTCTAGAGCTGAGTTGAGCGACGCCTCTCAGCTTTAGAAAAAACTTAAATAAGATTTGTCTGATCAAAGATAAATACAATAGCACGTAAAACTGTAACAAATGCCAGAGATAGCATAAAACGCATGCTCGAATAGTCAACAGAACTCGTGTTTAGTGTGGCAAGATTAGGTGTTAGTAAAACTGAATTCAGAGTGTCGTGCTACAAAGCACGGGATGTATAAATGCACCGCTAGCTTATTCATATTGCTAGCTAGGGCTGATCGGTAGCGCATTTGAAACTGTGATACGTCAACATGCAGCGGAGTGCACGTAATATGTTCTAGTTGTAAAGGAGCACGTAGTAAACATATATTAATATATACCGTTATACTATCTCTATATATATATATAGAAATAGTATGTATTATGTGTAGTTCTTTAAACGATCCTTTGAATTGCATGCGTATAGAGCGGCAACTACTCTAATGCATTTTATATCTGCTTGGTATTTCATGCAAAGTTTTTGCAGTAACTCAAGGATATATTGTTTTGTAAACCTTTGTTGGCCTTTTGTTTCATAGTAACATAAACAAGGTGCTTTGGGAAAAAATGAGTTAAAGTTCGCAATTAAACAACTGTTCATTCTAATAAGTTATTAATTATTCAATATTTGTACAGATTGGAAGTCGAAAGTAACTTTACCATCTTCTGGTTTGATTATCTTATAGTCCCCATAGTAATCATCTTCGACGAACAGTTTCCAGGATCCTATTTCCACCTGAGCCGCTTTTCCGTAGTAGCTGAATTCGAACTGACTAAACTCTTCAGCTGAGGCGTACAAAACTCGCCTCTTCCCTTCATCGTCGTAGATAGTTACCTTGCCCTTGATGAAGCACTGAGCGGCAGTTCCCGCGTAGTTGGAATCATAACAGCAGCCTCTAGCCTGACAGACCTCCTGGTTCAGGTTGGCACTGGAATCACATGGTGTGCGCTCCGAGGGGTGGGTGTCCGTGCAAATTTTCCATTCACTGCTAGGCCACCACTCGATAGTTTTTCTTCGGGCAGAAATAGAGCATAGGTTCTCCCAACCTCTGGAGAAGTAAGCGTATCCGCTGTAACCCCAACTTCCCCAACTGTTCTTCACGTACCAGTAATCCTTCTCATATCCGGCGACCACCACTGCGTGATTGGGAGTTGGGTTCGTCCCACACCCGTCGCCTCTGTAGGTGCCGGTAGTGTAGAAAGGTAATGCCCAGGAACTGTAAATGTCCACTTCCACGGGTCCTTCTGTAGCTAGAGCATGCTGTAGCCCAGCATCGTTCCTGGAGCGGTAACTAGCAAGATATGCCAACGGTTTAGCTCTTCTCAATGCGTTGTTGTAGGGTTTCTTCAGGTCTGTGCACTCTCCATCACTCCATCTGTATTTGTTGTCCTTTCGGATTGGTAGGTAGCCATACAATTTCGAATGAGAGATCTTGCTGTCAGTACCAGCCCAATTGATGGCTAGCTCACTCCAACCTCCCGTGCAGCCGTCACGTCTTCCTTCGAAGGTACAGTCCAGTAACGTCTGTTCCGAGAAGTCCCTGAATTCTCCGTGTTCCTTTAGATGCCTACCCTCCATGGCCCCAACAGCAGCAAAAGCCCAACAGCTTCCGCAGGACCATTGGTTCTTGACAGGACCCATGTCCCAGTATTGCTTCTCAGGATCGGTGGGGTCCAGTGGACTCGGATCGATTTCTAAGTTCGACTCTAATGCAGTGTCGTTAAGCTTCAGCCCGGTGAAGGCAGCCTTCTCCTCATCAGTCATATCTGCAAACAGTGTGAACCCAGCCACCCAATCACTCTGGATAGAGTTTATGTATTCGATAGTCTGAGCAGACTTCTTGAACTGACGGAATCGGGCCAGTTCATTTCTGAGTCCACCTCCGTAATTCTTGTTGAACTGAACTTTCCAATCCTTGAAGACTTGACGTAAATCTTTGTCTGCTTTCGCAGTCAGTGCTGCAAGACAGACTAGTTCTAGAACTATATAAAACCTCATCGTGTAAATGAAATAAAGAATTCTGTCTTGTTTTATATAAAGTAAATCTTTAGTGTCAAATTTGATTTATGGTCGCAAAATGATTAAATTGAATTTGAACGTAGATCACTAAAAAAGCGTCGCTCAATTGGATTAAGGAATCAAATTTAGTGGCTGTGTAAACCGAGAAAATTGGTGATAAATGAATTGAGGGGATACATTTTGAATTGTTTGAACTTGTAAATCTCCATACTTAATACTGAAGTCTCCCCATTATCTGCCACCTGAAGGCTTTGAAAAACGAATCCTTGGAGTTCTAAAAAGCACAATTCTTTTGTAGGTCATGATCCGGACATAAATAATATAGATGTGGATACTGGCGGGGAGGTGATAATTGTTTGTTTACGTTTTAAGTGGCGCCTCCATTCAGCAGGTTGAAGATGTGATGCAAATTTTGTATTATAGAAGGCTTGTAACACTTGTAACGCATTGTAACGGCCCATCATATTATAAGAGCTTGAGATGCCGGTCCCGTCCATTCGTTTTATGTTTTTGACCTATTGACATTGGCCGAAAGTCTGCTTCTAAAAGCAGAGGTTTGCTCGCGCCTCGCATTTCCATGCAAAATATCTTCAGAGTTCATGTTCGTTGACGTTAGGTCTAGTTGAGTAGTAATGCTCGATTCCGTATGAAACTCTGAAAGTTGTAAACTTTGTCCAAATTTTTAGCAATTTTCTGCACATAATATGACGACAAAATCATAATTGGAACATTGTAGGTTTACCATCGGTTAATACCTATTAAATTTAGAGACTTCATCAAGGTTCTTTTTTATTACATCATAGCCTTTGAATATTTGTATCATTTTAGTAATCACTTACACTAGTAAAACGTAACAATACCAGCCATGAGCTAACTACGGAGTCCAAACCAGATAAATATCAGACCACCAAACTTCCGGAAATTTTAAAATTGATTGATTTGTCCAATATTTACTCATCAACAATAAATATTTACTCATCATGAGCAAATATTTGACAAATCAATCAATCTTATGCCTAAGATGCTCCTTAATGGAATTGCTCGTAATTTATAGTTCATGGGATGTTCGTGTATGTCTTTTAAGACAAAATGACAAGTGAAAACAGTATCGCAATGAAACAAAGTTTTTATTCTCTGAATTTTCTTAGTTACTCAATATTTGTACAGATTGGAAGTCAAAAGTAACTTTACCATCTTCTGGTTTGATTATCTTATAGTCCCCATAGTAATCATCTTCGACGAACAGTTTCCAGGATCCTATTTCCACTTGAGCTGCTTTTCCGTAATAGCTGAATTCGAACTGACTAAACTCTTCAGCTGAGGCGTACAAAACCCGCCTTTTCTCTTCTTCGTCGTAAATAGTTACCTTGCCCTTGATGAAGCACTGAGCGGCAGTTCCCGCGTAGTTGGAATCATAACAGCAGCCTCTAGCCTGACAGACCTCCTGGTTTAGGTTAGCACTGGAGTCACATGGTGTGCGCTCCGAGGGATGAGTGTCTGTACAGATCTTCCATTCATTGTTAGGCCTCCACTCGATAGTTTTTCTGGAACTAGAGATGGAACAGAGGTTCTCCCAACCTCTGGAGAAGTAAGCGTATCCGCTGTAACCCCAACTCCCCCAACTGTTCTTCACGTACCAGTAATCTTTCTCATATCCAGCTGCCACCACTGCATGATTGGGAGTAGGGTTTGTCCCACACCCGTCCCCTCTGTAGGTGCCGGTAGTATAGAAAGGTAAAGCCCAGGAGCTGTATATGTACACCACTACGGGTCCCTCTGTAGCTAGAGCGTGCTGTAGTCCGGCATCGTTCCTAGATTTGTACTGGGCTAGATAAGCGTACGGTTTTGCTCTTCTTAATGCATTGTTGTATGGTTTCTTTAGGTCTACGCACTCTTTATCATCGCCTCTGTATTTGTTGTCCTTTCGGATTGGTAGGTAACCGTAGAATTGTGAGTGAGAGATCTTGCTGTCACTCCCGGCCCATCTGATAGCTGACTCACTCCATCCTCCCTTGCAGCCGTCCCTTCTCCCTTCGAAAGTACAGTCCAGTAGCGTTTGTTCGGAAAAGTCCCTGAATTCTCCGTGTTCCTTTAAATGCATACCTTCCATGGCTCCAACAGCTGCAAAAGCCCAACAACTTCCGCAGGACCACTGGTTCTTTGTCGGACCCATATCCCAATATTGCTTCTCGGGATCGGTAGGGTCCAGTGGACTCGGCCCCACTCCTAAGTTCGACTCTAATGCGGTGTCGTTGGACTTCAGCCCGGTGAAGGCAGCCTTCTCCTCATCAGTCATATCTGCAAACAGTGTGAACCCAGCCACCCAATCACTCTGGATAGAGTTTATGTATTCGATAGTCTGAGCAGACTTCTTGAACTGGCGGAATCGGGCCAGTTCATTTCTGAGTCCACCTCCGTAATTCCTGTTGAACTCTACTTTCCAATCCTTGAAGACTTGACGTAAATCTTTGTCTGCATTCGCAGTCAGTGCTGCAAGACAGACCAGTCCTAGAACTATAAATCTCATCGTGTAAATGAAATAAAGAATTCTGTCTTGTTTTATATCAAGTATATCTACAGTGTCGAATTTGATTTGTGGGCGTAAAATAATCCAATTGCATTGAACGTAGAACAAATCGTCGCTCAATTGGATTAAGAAATCAAATTGAGTGGATGTGCAAACCGAGAAAATTGATGGTAAATGAATTGAGGGTGCTAAATTTTGAATTGTTTGAAGTCTCTATACTTAAAGTTAATACTAAAATCTTTCCTATTATCTGCCACCTGAAGACGTTGGCCGTAGATAATCATAAATGGAATACAAATGAATCCTTGGAGTTCTAAAAAGCACAATTGTTTTTTGGGTCATTATCCGGACATATATGTACAAATGATTGCCCATCATATTATAAGAGCTTCAGATGCCGGACCATTGGGTGTTTATGTAAACCTTTCAGACAAATTGAAAAATGATAAAATTATATCGCAATGAAACAACTTTCTTTATTCTCTGTATTTTATTAGTTATTCAATATTTTATTAGTTATTCAATATTAGTTATTCAATATTTGTACAGATTGGAAGTCAAAAGTAACTTTACCATCTTCTGGTTTGATTATCTTATAGTCCCCATAGTAATCATCTTCGACGAACAGTTTCCAGGATCCTATTTCCACCTGAGCCGCTTTTCCGTAGTAGCTGAATTCGAACTGACTAAACTCTTCAGCTGAGGCGTACAAAACTCGCCTCTTCCCTTCACCGTCGTAAATAGTTACCTTGCCCTTGATGAAGCACTGAGCGGCAGTTCCCGCGTAGTTGGAATCATAACAGCAGCCTCTAGCCTGACAGACCTCCTGGTTCAGGTTGGCACTGGAGTCACATGGTGTCCGCTCCGAGGGATGGGTGTCTGTACAAATCTTCCAATTCTCGTTAGGCCTCCACTCGAGTATCTTCCTTCTGCTAGAAATGGAGCAGAGGTTCTCCCAACCTCTGGAGAAGTAAGCGTATCCGCTGTAACCCCAACTTCCCCAACTGTTCTTCACGTACCAGTAATCCTTCTCATATCCAGCGACCACCACTGCATGATTGGGAGTAGGGTTCTCCCCGCACCCTGTTCCTTTGTAGGTGCCGGTAGTGTAGAAAGGTAGAGCCCAGGAACTGTAAATACTTACAATGATAGGACCTTGTGTAGCCAGAGCATGTTGCAACCCAGCATCGGTTCTGGACGGGATCTCAGCAGTATACGCGTACGGCTTTGCACGTCGAAGTGCGTTATTGTAGGGTTTCTTCAGGTCTGTGCACTCTCCATCTCTGCCTTTGTATTTGTTGTCCTGTTGGAGAGGAAGATAACCGTAATCTTCAGAGTTAGATATCCTGCTGTCACTCCCAGCCCATCTGATGGCTGACTCACTCCATCCTCCTTTGCAGCCGTCTCTGTACCCTTCAAAAGCACAGTCCAGTATCGTTTGCACGGAAAAATCCCTGAATTCTCCGTGCTCTTTCAGGTGCATACCCTCCATGGCCCCAACACCAGCAAAAGCCCAACAACTTCCGCAAGACCCTTGATTCTTGACAGGACCCATGTCCCAATATTGTTTTTCAGGATCGGTGGGGTCCAGTGGACTCGGACCGTATTCTACGCTCGGCTCTGATGCGGTGTCGTTCAACTTCAGCCCGGTGAAGGCAGCCTTCTCCTCATCAGTCATATCTGCAAACAGTGTGAACCCAGCCACCCAATCACTCTGGATAGAGTTTATGTATTCGATAGTCTGAGCAGACTTTTTGAACTGACGGAATCGGGCCAGTTCATTTCTGAGTCCACCTCCGTAATTCTTGCTGAACTGAACTTTCCAATCCTTGAAGACTTGACGTAAATCTTTGTCTGCATTCGCAGTCAGGGCTGCAAGACAGACCAGTCCTAGAACTACATAAAACCTCATCGTGTAAATAAAATGCTTACTTCTTGTTCTACATTAAATAAGGCTTGCATTTGATTCATGGCGCGTTAAATAATTCGATTGAACGTACAGCACTAAAATTAATTAAAAATCAAATTAAGAAGCTTCAGGTGGAAGTTTAAAGTGAGAAAATTGATGACAAATGGATTAAAAGTGCTAAATATTGAATTATTAGCACTATAGCATATATCGTTATACTTTAAACTGAACACACTACACAATTATTCATAGCCCGAAGCTGAAAACGTGCTGAGAATTCGAATGGTAATATTTACTTGTAGTTTTGAAAGCACAAGTGTTTCAGCTATGGTCCGTACATAAAATTAAATGATAAATCACCATAAGTGTAAACGTGCTTGATTTATTATTTGTTTACGGAATTGGTACGAGACTATGAACCTGGATCTTCGACGGAAGTCAAGTCATCGGACATAATTGTCACGGACAAGTTTTTCATGGACCACATTTTTCACGGACATAATTATTCACGCTGCGCTCGACATGACCGCCCAAACACTTTAATAAGTGTTTTAATCTTTTTCTGAACTATAGAATGTGACTGAGGAGTGATTACATTTGTCCTAGTATACTAATAAACTAATATAGTAAATGGCTACACATATCTAAGCATATGTACTATGTAGGGACACACACACTAAAATTAATGGAAATAATTACCGGACTTTATTATTCACAGAAATGAATGCCACAGACATTATTTTCACTGACTTAATTATTCACGCTAAGGTCTTTAGCGTGAAAGTATAAATGTCCGTGAAAATTATGACCGATAAGGTAGTAGGGCATATTTAGGACTAAGGGTTTCTATATTAGTATTACAAGATAGTTATGAACCACTTTAAGATAAGACACGGACCGAGGAAGAGTTTGACGTATCATGACAGTTACACAAGATCTGAATGTCGCGTCGAAGGCTGGAAATTTCAAACATTAATGTTATCATAACAAGTTGAAATTGACGTGTACTGAAGATTTATAGCACCACTTCGTCATCCTCCCGGGTTAATGTAAATATTTTATCGAAGAAAGACATCAGTGGCATCATGATAACTAAATAAACTCAAATTCTTCGAGAAATTAGCTCACTCTCTTGCGGCTCTGTGGGCCATCTTCCATCTTCATTCTACAACCACCGAGCTTCAATGGATGAAGGTTAAGGTGCAGAATCAGATAAGACCGACCGTGTCCAAGTAACTCCTACGTTACCAACAATAATGATAATGGCATCTTCTTATTAATACAGACGGATATTTGTATCTGATGACTTTACTTAGAACTCTTAAAAATTGGTTCAATCAAACTTTAACTAGTGAGCGGAGCTAATTTGAGCAATATGCCTGCTAGTACTTTAAGCTTGCATAAAGTTTCGTCCCTCGGGAAACACATCAAAAGTAACTGATACAAATTACTAAGGAAATAATAAAAATATATGTTGATTCTCTTAACAAAACTTAACAAAAGATCATGACTCACCGCTTACCTTGCACGTGCATGGTTCCGTAACTACGAGACCACAATAAAGTCACATCACGTGACAGGTATTGTGTCACTGTTACATAATCACGGATAATAACCACTGACAACAACCACACGGAACTGAGCACTGCGGCGGAGGACGGTACAGAGGACAACGCTACGGTGGAACTTTTCAAAAAGGGTGAACAACGCAGCTAAATCACATGGCACTAAGATTACCATTTTTGTAGATTGAATCGAATTAATTGGTTGATCTGATCGCTTTTTTTTCTAAAACGCTCCATGCGTTATATTATGAACTCATAAAATCCTTCGTTTATTTTGTTGTTAAAATTTTATTCCTACGCAAGGGCTGCAGACTTGTTTAACACATGGTAACTCTTGTATGTTGACGATGAACACCCTTTTGGAAAGTTGCGCCCTGATCTCAAACGTAGTCTCCTTTACCCCGACTTAAATTACTCTAGATGAAAAAATCATACAAACTTCCTTTCTGACCAGAACAGCTCTCAGCTATCAAAGAAGCTTGAACGTACCTTGTAAATAACACCAGGGAGACCACATAATATGGTCTGCTTGTCTCTTCTCTGCTAGTGCCATGTTCTCTCCTCTGCTTATAGTCCCTTCTCAGTCTCTGCACCAGCTATTTTCTCAAGCTTAACGAAATATTATCACTATCAGCAACTGTTACTGCTCCTTGAACACCCTCGTTCAACGGTAAATATAATTGTCGTAACGCGACATACTTAAGTCGTAAATTAGTCCTCGTACCTACGATGCAGTTTTGTTAGCATACCTGTCGTATTCAAGACATTTCACTGCGCAGCACATCGAAATGGTAAACGCATGCCACAATTACTGTTGTTCTGTTGTAAATACGACAGTTAACTTTCGTTAATACGCCAGGTATGTCGATAAAACTGTCTGGTTTACGGCAGGTATGTCGTGTTAAGACAGGCAAATTTTCATAAATACTAGCGATGTGGCTATATTAGTGGCTGGTGGCAGGAAACAGGGAGTGAAGAAGCAGGAATGTTAAGCTAAATTTAAACACGCTGATCACCTTATAGCAGAGTGCAGTAATAAGACCCAATTCTTCTTGTTTGAGTTCTTGCATCTGCACCAGCCTACCACGGAAATCAAAGATACTTGTACATAATATGAAAGTCTGATTATATTACCGAAAGTTTCAGCTGAGCGAAATTCCGAAACAAACGCGTACTGGAGAAGAAATCATCACGGTGAAATGGTTTCGTAATATTATCGATAATCTCATTTTAAATGCAGTCGCTCATTGTAACTTCTTTCATCTTTGTAAAAGGAATTTGAAAGGTAGCCCACCTTGTTGGAGAAAAGCGATTAATCACTGTATGGTCGTTATCACGTGACTAACTTGACAAACAAACCAAAACCTCCAACTCTAACCCGATCCCTAACCGACAAAAATCACATACTGCAAAGCTTCAAAAGGTTTTAATCGTTAGCTGTATCATGTTTATCGCGTACAGTATCAGCATAATAGTAAAATTAGTTGGTTAGTAGGCTTACTTTGCAGTGCAGGCTTGTCCGCCGCCGCCGAACGCCGCCGCCGCCGGGTGATTTTGCCACGCCGAACGCCGCCGATACACCCCGGCGTACATCGGCGTACGGCGTGCATTTTCTGACTTCAAAATAATTCTGTCTTCATTTGAAGATATCAGTGTTACTGATAGCGATTAGCGGCTAGGGGCAACACACACATGATACACACCTTTAGCTAACTTAACAATATTGATTATCAGAAGAACTGAGCAGATACCTACTTATAAGTTTGACTGAAGAAGAAATTTTACAATTCGAACTTTTAAGATTTTGGGCCGATAGGCAAAAAACTTTCCCAATACTCTCAAACATAGTAAGAATAGTGCATTGTATACCTGCCAGTAGTGCGGAAATTGAAAGAACCTGGTCGGCTGCAGGTTTAATTCTTTCTAGTTAGCGATCTAGGATGAATGTTAAGAATTTCAAATATACACTGTTTTGTTCTAAAAACTATGATTTTGTTTCCAACAAAAAATATTGAGAGATCCATTGATTTCAGCAATAATTTATTGTTTATGTATTTTACCTTAAATAAAATAATTGTATCAATTTGTTTCAACTTTTATTTGATAGCAGATAATACCATAACAATATACCAACATCATTTGTTGAAGTTAAGTCTAAATTACCCAAATTAAGTACATGATCATATTCATATTTCATAGACCTCAATTTTGTTGGCCTTGATTTCACGGCTCACGCCGGCGTACGCCGCCGCCGCCGGTGTAATTTTAGTGAAACGCCGCCGCCGATCCATTTAGCCACGGCGGACAAGCCTGTTGCAGTGAAGTCGGGTATAATCTTTTAATTGGCTCATTCTTACTTATTTTTGATTTAGACAAGGTTATTTACAGATCTTTGACAATAAATGTTACAACTTACTATCTTACAACGGTTTTAATCTATTTCTCATCAATTAGTCTGTTACGTTACCAGGTGAGACTTCAGAGTTCAGTTATCTCCTCAGCTGACCTGGCCCCTGGTGTTTTATTAGGTTATTTCAAAGTTCACAACTTTAAGTCCCTTAATTCAATTCTGTCACAATTCTGTCAGACTTGAACAGTTCACAAGATTTTATTTTTATTTCAGATCAACTTCATTCACAAATCGCTCTGTTATGAGATTCATCATTTTAGGATTAGTTTGTTTTGCAGTCCTGGCTGCTACCGCAGACCAAGATCTACGTCAAACCTTTAAGGATTGGAAAGTAACTTTCAACAAGAATTACGGAGGTGGACTCAGAAATGAACTGGCCCGATTCCGTCAGTTCAAGAAGTCTGCTCAGACTATCGAATACATAAACTCTATCCAGAGTGATTGGGTGGCTGGGTTCACACTGTTTGCAGATATGACTGATGAGGAGAAGGCTGCCTTCACCGGGCTGAAGTTGAACGACACCGCATCAGAGCCGAGCGTAGAATACGGTCAGAATCCACTGGACCCCACCGATCCCGAAAAGCAATATTGGGACATGGGTCCTGTCAAGAATCAATGGTTTTGCGGAAGTTGTTGGGCTTTTGCTGCTGTTGGGGCCATAGAGGGTATGCACCTGAAGGAGCACGGGAATTTCCTTCGCTGGATCCGAGAGTCCTATATCCAAATCTAATGATTACGGCTATCTCCCGCTTAGGAAGGATAATCCCTACAAAGGTAATGACCGCGAATGCACAGAGTTGAAGACCCCTCACTCCAATGGTCTGCGCAGAGCCAAGCCCTACGCTCACCTTGCCCGGTATGGGACAAGGAATGATGCAGGGTTACAACACGCTCTAGCTACAGAGGGACCCGTAGTGGTGTACATATACAGCTCCTGGGCTCTTCCTTTCTATACTACCGGCACCTACAGAGGGACAGGGTGTGGGACAAACCCCCAATACAACCACGCAGTGGTGGCAGCTGGATATGAGAAAGATTACTGGTACGTGAAGAACAGTTGGGGGAGTCTGTGGGGTTACAGTGGTTACGTCTACTTCTCCAGAGGTTGGGAGAACCTCTGTTCCATCTCTAGTTCCAGAAAAACTATCGAGTGGAGGGCTAACAATGAATGGAAGATTTGTACAGACACCCATCCCTCGGAGCGGACACCATGTGACTCCAGTGCCAACCTGAACCAGGAGGTCTGTCAGGCTAGAGGCTGCTGTTATGATTCCAACTACGCGGGAACTGCCGCTCAGTGCTTCATCAAGGGCAAGGTAACTATTTACGACGATGAAGGGAAGAGGCGAGTTTTGTACGCCTCAGCTGAAGAGTTTAGTCAGTTCGAATTCAGCTACTACGGAAAAGCGGCTCAGGTGGAAATAGGATCCTGGAAACTGTTCGTCGAAGATGATTACTATGGGGACTATAAGATAATCAAACCAGAAGATGGTAAAGTTACTTTCGACTTCCAATCTGTACAAATATTAAATTAGAATATTAATCCTGTTGGAACCAGTGTGTTAGCCAAAGATCTTATTGGCGTTGCTAACCAACCTAGGTAGTCATCTTGTAACATGTTCAACTTATAAAATTCAGAGAATTCTTTCATTTTTTAACGAGAATTATAGCTTAACAATGCTCTCATATTTGTTCCCATATTTATTAATTGACAATATTTTAATTCATTAACTTCTTGCTTCTTTAACAGAGTATAATCAGTACATATTTTCCAGTTTCCATCTAACTTTGAGTTTTAAACTAATTTATGGGAGTCACATTTTTACAACACAGAACAGTGATTGGTCTATACTCTCCCAAAGTCAAATGCAATGCTAAATTAAATATAGATTCAATTACCACTATAGAGAAAAGTGCTATTTTAAAGATGATTTATGGAGTAGTGATTGTTGTATATGTGTATATGATCTGTCTGTTATTGGCGGGGGCCATTGAAACAGCAAGTGAATACTCAGAATAAACATTTCGTATGCATCGCTCGTACAAGATCGGACTACACCTGACCAATGACTGGGACTGACTTATGAACAGTGCAAATCTTGTAGTCCTAATGATCATCTATTCAAAGAAACAAAATGGAATAGCCCTATGGATAGTGAAGTATGGTTGTCCCAGACGTTACTCTTCCGCTAAGTGTAGTGGACATCAGTTCCTAAGTAACATGTTCACCATCTGGACGACCATTCTGAACTTAGTTTTGCTTGTTATCTGCAATACAAGCATACTTAACCCAGGTCCAGTTGATAACAATAACCTCAGTCATCTAAAGGTAATGTACCAAAATTTGAGAGGGCTTGTCCCCTTTAGTGGCCTAGCATCTAAAAACATGCCGCTTGATGCTGGTAAACTACTAGAGCTCCAATCTAAGATCTATGAAGACAAGCCTGATGTTATTGTTCTGACTGAGACTTGGCTTTCAAAAGAGCACCTGGAAAATGAGATCCTCCCTGATAGCATCTACAAGATATATCGGAAGGATAGATCCAAAAGATCCCACCCCCCGGATCCTGATAACCCAAATAAGTTTCGAAGGAAGGGGGGTGGAGTCCTTATTGCAGTCAAGACTGGCATCAGTATTGAAAATGACAAGATTGATGTCAGCTCTAGGGCTGAAATGATCTCAGTCAGCCTAAAATCAAACAACACATGCTACTGCATAACTGCCTGCTATAGAGTTGGCACCCTTGGTGAAAATAATTTTAATGAAATTGAGAAACACCTCAGAAATGTGGTAAGCCGAAGAAAGTTTAAGGCCCACTTTGTAGTTGGGGACTTCAATCTACCTGAAGTTAACTGGTCAGACGGTGTGTCCCCCACACTTCTTGGTGGCCGTTTTATAGATCTGTTTAATGACCTAGGCTTAACACAAATGATAAACCAACCCACTCATGATAAAGGGAAGGTCCTCGATCTTCTCTTCTGTAATATGATAAGTGTTGTTGAAAATTTGGTAGTCCTGGGGAAAAATGAGATATGCTCCTCAGATCACTTTGGAATAACTTTTAGTGCTAAAATGAAGTTTAGAAAGAAGGTCATCAAACGAAAAATCTTAAATTACAAAAAAGCAGACTGGATCGGCCTGAACAATGATCTGAAATCAGTTAGATGGGATGATCACCTTAACTGTGATGCAGAAACAGGATGGTTCCGTTTTAAGAAAATCCTGTTCCATCACATACACAACCGAATCCCAACTATTACGATATCAGATAAGGATCAGCCGCCCTGGTTTGACTCTGACACTTATCAGCTGTGTCTCAAAAAAGAAAAACTACGAGTCAAATCGAAAAGATCATGCCTAGCCGAGGACTATGAAAAGTTCTCACAATGTAGAAAAGATTTTCAAAATTTGGTCGACCAAAAAATGATATCAAATTTGAATGATGATGATGATCCAGCTCTTATGTCAAAGAAATTCTGGAAACATGTCAAATCGACATCAAAATCTACTCGCATACCGGGAACAGTAAATTATAACGGCAGATTCAGAAACAATCACTTAGACCAAGCTGAAATGTTCAATGAATATTTTGCCGCACAGTTTTCCGAAGCGAGTAACTATGATGTTGATATTGATTATAGTAATGACTCAGTAAACGACATTGAGTTCAGTACCAGTAGAATCCGAAAAATTCTAAAAGATGTCAATGTTAATAAAGCTGCTTGTCCAGATGGTATCCATGGCAAAATTTTAAAGAACTGTAGAGATAGTATTGCATACCCACTCTCGAGCCTTTTTAAAATCTCTTATAATATAGGTCAGATACCATCTGAATGGAAATTTGCTATCGTAGTACCTGTGCATAAGAAAGGCCCCAAAACTTTAGTTGAAAATTATCGGCCAATCTCTCTCACAAGCCTTACAATGAAAATTTTTTTTTCAATGCAGTCGTTCATTGTAACTTCTTTCATCTTTGTAAGAGAAATTTGAAAGGTAGCCCACCTTGTTGGAGAAAAGCGATTAATCACTGTACGGTCGTTATCACGTGACTAACTTGACAAACAAACCAAAACCTCCAACTCTAACCCGATCCCTAACCGACAACAATCACATACTGTACAGCTTCAAAAGGTTTTAATCGTTAGCTGTATCATGTTTATCGCGTACAGTATCAGCATAATAGTAAAATTAGTTGGTTAGTAAGCTTACTTTGCAGTGAAGTCTGGTTTAATCTTTTAATTGGGACATTCTTACTTATTTCATACAGTTTTTAAATCTGTTTAACATCAATTAGTCTGTTACGTTACCAGGTGAGACTTCAGTTTTCTCCTCAGCTAACCTGGCCCCCTGGTGTTTTATTAGGTTATTTCAAAGTTCACAACTTTAAGTCCCTTAATTCAATTCTGTCTCAATTCTGTCAGATTTAAACAGTTCAGGAGATTTTATTTTTATTTTCGGTCAACTACAAATCGCTCTGTTATGAGATTCATCGTTTTAGGATTAGTCTGTTTTTCAGTCCTGGCTGCTTCCGCAGACCAAGATCTACGTCAAACCTTCAAGGATTGGAAAGTAACTTTCGACAAAATTTACGGAGGTGGACTCAGAAATGAACTGGCCCGATTCCGTCAGTTCAAGAAGTCTGCTCAGACTATCGAATACATAAACTCTATCCAGAGTGATTGGGTGGCTGGGTTCACACTGTTTGCAGATATGACTGATGAGGAGAAGGCTGCCTTCACTGGGATAAACAAAAACGACACTGCATTAGAGTCGAACTTAGAAATCGATCCGAGTCCACTAGACCCCACTAATCCTGAGAAGCAATATTGGGACATGGGTCCGGCAAAGAACCAGTGGGCCTGCGGAAGTTGTTGGGCGTTTGCTGCCATTGGGGCCATAGAGGGTATGCATCTAAAGGAACACGGGGAATTCCGGGATTTCTCCGAGCAAACGTTACTGGACTGTACCTTCGAAGACATTGGTAGAGATGGTTGTAATGGAGGATGGAGTGACACTGCCATTTCCTTTGCTGGATCCGAGAGTCCTATATCCAAATCTAATGATTACGGCTATCTCCCGCTTAGGAAGGATAATCCCTACAAAGGTAATGACCGCGAATGCACAGAGTTGAAGACCCCTCACTCCAATGGTCTGCGCAGAGCCAAGCCCTACGCTCACCTTGCCCGGTATAGGACGAGGAATGATGCAGGGTTACAACACGCTCTAGCTACAGAGGGACCCGTAGTGGTGTACATATACAGCTCCTGGGCTTTACCTTTCTACACTACCGGCACCTACAGAGGGACAGGGTGTGGGACAAACCCTACCACTAATCATGCCGTGGTGGCAGCTGGATATGAGAAAGATTACTGGTACGTGAAGAACAGTTGGGGGAGTCTGTGGGGTTACAGTGGTTACGTCTACTTCTCCAGAGGTTGGGAGAACCTCTGTTCCATCTCTAGTTCCAGAAAAACTATCGAGTGGAGGCCTAACGAGAATTGGGAGATTTGTACGGACACCCATCCCTCGGAGCGCACACCATGTGATTCCAGTGCCAACCTGAACCAGGAGGTCTGTCAGGCTAGAGGCTGCTGTTATGATTCAAACTACGCGGGAACTGCCGCTCAGTGCTTCATCAAGGGCAAGGTAACTATCTACGACGATGAAGGGAAGAGGCGAGTTTTGTACGCCTCAGCTGAAGAGTTTAGTCAGTTCGAATTCAGCTACTACGGAAAAGCGGCTCAGGTGGAAATAGGATCCTGGAAACTGTTCGTCGAAGATGATTACTATGGGGACTATAAGATAATCAAACCAGAAGATGGTAAAGTTACTTTCGACTTCCAATCTGTACAAATATTAAATTAGAATATTTAAGGACATTTTGTTTGTTGTTTGTTGTTGTATGGAGTTATACCCTTAGTACTAACATGTTTTACTTTTGTTCAAATAAATTTCACTCCGTGAATATCGCAACCGATTTCTAAAATCTCTAGTGTTTTCAGTCAATAGTTTACGTTTCAATTACCTATCAATAGCCTAAACTTTCAGTTTATACTTTAATCTCAAGAAATCTGAACTGGTCAATTATTCCTAGTTTAGTTTTAGAAACTGTCATACCTATTAATTGTTGACAATGAAACTTTCCAAATTCAGAGAAAATTGATGAGCAATAAATATAAATTATCATTGCAACGTTTTTTAAATAAATATCAATAAACAATTCACATTCACAAATTTAAAAAACTGAAACTCTAAATCCAATATTCTGTGCATGTTTTGTTGTGAACTAAGTATGGAAGGTTTAACAAGAGGTGCACCACAATTCTCATTTTGTAGAATCCATTTAAATTCGACCATATTATTCATTATATCTTAATCAAATAATCGGCATAATGCACCAGAATAAATATCAAATATCAAATACTTTATATATCCAAAGTAATCTCAAAGAATGGAACTGAGAAGACGAGTGAAGAAAGTGCGCATGTCCGCTTGTCTGCTAGATCTACATAAGTTCAGTCTCTATCCCAGAACTTGCAGCTATCTGAAGGACCAGATCTAGTCTCAATGTGCTCATATCAAGTCCATGCTAGCTTTAATAACCTCTGTACAAGGACCCAGTGTCTTGCTGTAGTAGCTGGCGGGGGACCCCATCCCACTCTTAGCGCACGAGCTGAACGGGTCTGTGATGAAGGTCTGGATAGGCTCCGTGGTCACGTGACTCAGAGTGGGTGAGTTCATGTAGTTATTGGTGGTGTTGTTCAGGGTGTTTAGGTAACTGGAGGTTTCGTCCAGGTAGTTCCCTGTGTAGTAGCTTGTATCTGCGGAGGTACGAGGTCAGGGAGTCAGCTTATAGCCCGTTAAATTGTATTACCAGTTAATGTTAGAACATTGATATTACAATGGGCACTTTCTAGAACAATTATTATCTGCGTATAGTTAATTGTGGACCACCCTGTACAATATGAGGCTATTATTATAACGATACATTGTGTATGTGCTTTTAACATTAGCGGTCTGATAGCGATAATTTCCCATTATAACAATACGAAACACAAAGAAACTAAAAGTCTATGCTCACCAGGATTGTATCCAGCAGTAACAGGGTTGTAAGCCTGAGCGTACTCCAGAGCTCCATAATCAGCAAGGTGACTAGCTCCTCCTATCACCGTACCAATAGTAGGCATGATGCTAGGTTCCTGGTGGTAGGTCTTAAAGGCACTGTCTGAGTTAACAGAACACTGGACACTGAGTTGGGAGCACGCGAAGTTGTTCTCCAGATACATGGGCTCAGGTTTCAATCTCGACTGGTCCAAAATCAGGCCTGGAGAAAATGTGGTTTATAGTCGCGGCTAAACTGGCTTTCTGGGATAAAAGTGATGCAGGAAATGTGATATATTTTGAACTGTAGGTGCGCGAAAGGAGCATGAAATATCAGCTTACCTGACTCTATCCCGGCCTGCTCGAGGGGATTAGTAGCTGCTGTGGAGTAGGAGAATGGTTTGGTCTCCATCTTCGGGGGCGCTATTCCGTAGGGTCTGGAGTTTATCAAGCTGCTTGGTGAGAGGGCCGGGTCAAGACCTGCTGGAAAGATGAAGTCATTACTTTAATTATATAACTCCCTCATTTTAGGAGAAGTTTTTAATAAATATCACTCATTTTAGTAAAGCTTTTTGATATATATGACTTATTTTGTAAAAGTTTTTAATGTATATCAATCATTTTAGGAGAAGATTTCAATGTGTGTGACTGATTTTGTCCAGGGTTTGTCAGTGTTCACTAAAACCTGGAGATTGATGTTCAAAAAGCACGAGTGTACTTTTCAACCGGCAAAGTAGATCACCTTTTCTGAAGATGTCGTTGAAGTCAGCCTGGGTTGTTGGTACTGGAGCGGTGGTGGTGAAGGCCTGGGCGTTGTCTCCACTGCTCACTAGAGCTCTCCTCTTTTTAGGGTAGTCCACCTCCACACCCTGACTGGTTGGGCGTCTCTTCTTCTGGAGTTGCTGGTTAGCGTGATACTGCGGAGGTCGGGTCAACTATCATCTTCATTTGAAGGGGGTCTTATTTAAAATCTTAACCCATCCTACAGATATACATTATTTAACCCGTTACCTAAGGTCCCTCCTGGAAATAATACCTACCATGTGATTGCGAATATCGTGACTGGTAGGGTAGTATGCTCTGTTATTCTGGTCCAGGATAGCTGACAGTTCCTCTTTTGAAGCTCCCAACGAGAACTCCCTCTCCACAAAGCTGTGCAGGTTCTCCTTGATCTGGTTCACCTCTTGTAACCCGCTGTTTACTAACTCGTAGATCTTATCTGAGGGGACAGGATAACGATCAGACAAATAAAACCTATGTTTCTGTTACATTTCTCCCGTAATTCTGTTAGAGACGCCGTGGTTTCGATAAGAATATCTCAACTATTATATTATGTTTGATTGCACCTCAGAATTAAGGTCCTTAAAATCTACTTATACTAATGCGGGCAACTTTCATAAATGATAATCCAGTGCTTCTTTAATCAGGTCTAAACATTGAACTCTATAAAACCGTGGGTTTTATAAGTAAGGGTACGTCGTTCTTAAGTACTAAATTGCTGCTGTTATTATTAGAAACAAGGTGCCCGAGGATGTTTAACAAACAGTTTATAAACATCTTGTAAACATTTGTAAACATCTGTAGATATATTTGATAAACATCTTGTTAATACAAACATGTAGGTGAAGTAACTAACCTATGATAGCAGGGTGAAGTTTCTGACTCATGCAGGCTTCCTCCCCGGAGGTGGGATGCAGCAGGTGGGCCTCGTCACAGGGCAGTTGTACGTAGAACCGCTCCTTACCCTGCACCTGATCAGGGGTAATTCAATTAGTTTTAGTAGCTCCGGAGCACCACTGACAGGCCCCCTAATTCAACAACCCTCCAGACCTGAAACTAATAGGGTGTACGACCACTAATTAGACTCAGGGGGTATCATCAGGGGCCAGGGTTTCATGGTTGGAAACCTTGCCAGGAAAATAATCGCCGGCAATTAAAATCGCTAACATTGAGCACTATAAAGCTGTAATAACTAATGGGTTTAAACGAACAATACAGAGATCATGAGATTATGAAACCTCAAGTCTCAACTACCGGATCCTGGCCACTGTTTCACACTTGTAACTATAGTGAGCTGTAGTGAATTGAGCATGCACTTTGTGTTATCCCTCTAATTGTCTGCCTCATGTAGAAAGTGTGAACAAGACGGACTACCCACGTGCACCGACTCACGACCCCCCATTATTAGTAGCACTGTTCACTCACTCACTGCATGCCCCCAGTTAACCCTATTAACATATTATCACTATAAGAGGATTAGCTCTGTCGGTGATCTAATAGATTCCATCTAGATTCCTAACGCGGGAAAAGGACCCTTGATTATTCTCAATAATATTAGCCGGTAACTCTTCACATCCCTTGTAGGAGTGGAAAATGGGCTGGTCTCTATATTAGCCTCAGTGGTTCTATGATGTGGTAATAGGTATAACGATCTAATCCCCCTTAATAACCCAATAAGAGTTAACCCCTAATTTCTACCAATAACTCAAGAGTTGACGCTAACCTGTCCGTTTCGGAGTCGAGTTTTCAGTCTAAAAAGAATGTCAGCTTTCTTCTCCCGGATAGCCCAGTCGCTCTTCCCCTTGGCCATGTCCTCGGGATAGAGGGCGTGGTCTGGGAACCGCACTATCCTCCTCACTGTTATCGTGGCTGGACAGCCTCGTTTTCGGGAAATTCTCGTTCCGATTTGCTGCGGGATGGAATGTTAGAGAATGTTGAACTATGTAGTTTTGTGCAAGTTTGTGAAAAGAAGTGAATGAAAGAATGTTAGAGTTAGAGTGGAATTTAGAGGTACAATGCGGTTGTTCTGAGTGTGTAAGTTCGTTGTTACTGTATTTAACTCTACAACTAATTTCAGCAGGTCCTTGCTCACAACATGGCAGTGAAACCAGAGGTTATATCTCCATCATTGGAATCGTGCACATCGGACCAACAAATTTATAAAACACTGAACACAGATATACCATTCTGTTTAAGAGCTTATATTTAATTTCCATCTTTGTGTTATGAACTTTGTCGGTAGCCTCACTATTTGGGTACTGACCCTAACCTTGCAGTAATCTTCACATGTCTTATCTTCGGGCTTCCTTCGCCGAGCATCTCGTTTAGGTCCGTATTGGCATTCTAGAACTTTTCTTCCACAAATCAAGAAAGGGACTCCGTCGAAGGGTACCATGGGATTAGCCGTGCTCTGCCACAGAAGTCTGGGAGACTTTACTTTTCCTGAAAGAGAGGTATGGTGTTATTTTCGTGAAACAGACAAACTTTGTTATTATCCACACTCTGGAAGCAACAGGATTGTTCAAACTCGATCAAATCTGGCTATAACTATACTACTAGAAAACAGATCAATATGTCAGTATCATTTACCAAGGGTAACGGTGCGGGTGCCATCAAACCCAAAGTCGCTCTGATGGAAGGGACCTCTACTGTCCCTGGTACCGAATGTAGAGGTTGTGGTTCTCTTGTGTAGCTCCAGCAGGATGATCAGCTCCTTCCAGCCCTCTACAAATCCCTCCAAATACTCCCCCGCTCGTTTCAAGTTCGCTAACACTCCGGCACACGCCAAGTTCATCGATTCTGACCTGAAAATCTGACGTTAGCTCTAATTCAACCTCCCCGATAATGCATAGTCCGTGGTAAGTTTTAAGCTAAAATCCATCGTATTAAAGATTTTAAAGAGGAGCTAGTTTAACGGTATTTGTATTTTGATGTCACGTGTTCTCTAAACTCTGGCAGAGTTATATTGTATGTTTCGGTACAGGGCGTGTTCTAGGTAATGTACTCCTAACAAGGTCGGGGGGGGTAATTCACCGTGACGGTAATCTCCATAAATGAAATAGATTCGTTTAGTAATAATAATAAGCGTGCGACCACTTCCGATCACCTGCTCGCATCCAGGGCTACTTAACATGCAGAGTTTGTAGATCCAGGTAACTCATTAAGTGCAATTAAAACAGCATGCAGACCCAATTATCGGCTTGTAGCGATATTAACAAGCCTAGTACGGATAATCTTCCCCTAAATAATGGGGAAGGGATTAGTGCTTCAATATGAACAATCCGATGAAACAACGGCTCTAAAAGGTTGATTATATGTTTCCGAGAGAGCCATATTGATATACATTTTTAAATATAAGAAGTGAAGAGCGGAGAAGTTTGACTGATTCAACGACTATGACATGAGATTAGTCTGAAAATTGCCCTCAATTAATTAGCTCACTATTCACATAACAAGAGTGAATGAGAGCAGAGTTTCAGGGAGGTGTCCTAATGGCTTCCACCTAACAGATCCACTCTAACCCAGTCCTAATGGCTTACAATTTGTTACTGCAGTCTCCTGCAAGGTGTCCGGAAGTGGAGTCTGTCACTTCAAATCCCTCATGATCTGTTCCCCATCTATTTAATTAAATTCACAATCTGCCAATTATTTCTGAAAATTGGTGCGAACAAGAACTGTGGAGGGATCTGAAGTGGGTAAAACAGTTTCCAACATTGACTAATTAAATAATCTGGTGATCGGACCGATCATGTTGTTTCTTTCCTGCACCACTTATACCTGTTGATGCTAGTCTAGATTCTAGACCTCCGGCTATTGGGCGTACGAAGGAGTTGAATATTTTGTGGACACTCTTATTGCCCAACATACCACATAGAAAACCACGTAATACACGAACAAATAGACACTGACTAGTGACTAGATAAGCTTCATACTAACACTGTGTTCTTCACTAAACACCAGTTATTATTAAGAGGACAGGTACTGGCTCATTTTCAAAAATAAATCATGTAGTGGATCACGTGCCCAGTTACAATGTATGGAGTTTTTATAGGTAGCATTTTCTAAATACTTAATACTTAATACTTAATACTTAATACTTGACCATTCTCTTTTTTCAAATATGGGGATTTGAAAAAATAGCCTATAATTAGGGGATGAAAATATTTTTTAAATGCTGAAAATATTTGCAAAATAACAAGATACTGATAGTGCTATCTGTAATAACTATATTTACCATGAACTGAATTGAGCCTCTTATAATATAAATGTCCAAAAATAGGGTATTAACTATGAACAAAATTCCATTGTATCTTAACACTTTGTTAATAATAAAAACACTTTGCCTCAATAGCAACCCCTTGTCTCCACTAGCAACACTTTGTCTCTAGTAGAGACCCATTGTCTCCTCTAGCAACACTTTGTCTCTAGTAGCAACCCATTGTCCCGGGCCGATAATGGCCTTGCTAAGTGGTGTAATGACACGGCCATCCTATTGTGCGCAGCCGCTAGTTTATCTGGATCAAACAGCAACTCTTGCACGTGCAAGTTCGGGATGTTTTTATCGTGCTTTTACAATGTTCCCCCATTTGGTGCAGTAATTATCTTAGAAACAATAGCCTAATGATTATAAAGAAAAGAGATGTTTTCTGGGGATAAAGCCAGGAGGAACTAGGAAATAAGAGGCAAAATAACAATAATGAGAGAAAATACAACAAATTACCTCAAGTCCGGTGAATGCTGAAGTAACATGGTAGAAGAAAAAGTTGGAAGAAGTCTGACGCAACAAAACGGTATCGGTTGCAACTGTGCGGGGTTTTGCGCTGCGCTCAATTAAAAGGAGGAGCAGAGGGCCCCCTTAGGCGTAGGTCACGTGACACAGGTCACGTGATCTGAACCAGGGTAAACTAGTTATACCTTATATGGAATAATGGGGGTAACAAGTGCAGAGAGTACCAATTACCCTTACTGAAATAATAGACCCTATCATCAAATTAAATCCCAATAACATCTGACTGATATCGTTAGTTCATAATGAGAAGGTTAATTAGAGAGAAGACATGTTAGATGGTTAGTTAATCTAAGTAAATGAATATGTTCGGCCCCCCTTAGCCATGTTCGCAGGTTGGGGTATTAGCCCTTCGGGATGAATCACGAGCAAAACTAAACTAAGAGCATAGATATCCACAACTGTCCATTCTTCTAGTTTTACGATGCACTTTTACCATCAGTCTTTTCTCCGCACAATTTTAACCTTTATTGTTCCAACAAACTTTCTAACCTCTACGATTATAGCAATAATCAAACTTGCTAACTATTATAGGTACACATTATTCAACTTAATTGCTTATATAATATTAAAAATTTATTCATTCCTGATTTGTCTGTGAACCAAAAAGATTATTGCGAGACGGAAGCTTATAGAATTCTATTCATTATCTGAAGAAAAAAAATGGTTATCATTGTTTTACAGTATTGAAGGCTTTGAGTATCAATATTTTTGTTTGAGTACTGACATGTATGTCGTATCTAGATATGTATGGACCTAATTTGACCATCTTCAATCGTAATATCATGATACATTTAACTGATCTTAAGACCAAAACTTCTAAATTGTAGGCCGTACGGCGTACAATTTAAGAGTTTTGGTCATATCAGTGTTACAGTGTTTACTAAACACTGAGTGTTTAGTGATCCTACGATGTAAGGTCACTAAACACTGTGACTAATACCCTTCTCAAGATATGTACACCTCTTATAATATGACCCCTTATTTCACATCCCCAGGGGTTATGATGAGGCTCTGATCGTAACTAAATTACCTTCAAATCAGTCGCAGGTATTTGCCGTACACTTTTGGTTTCGCCGTAGTTTCGTGTTTTGTTTCTAAACTTTAATAACTTAGTGTTTACAGTTATTGAACCCTCAAGCAGTTTGTACAGCAATTAGTGACCCGCCATGATATTCATCATCTCAATTCTTCTAGATTCGTCTGTAATACCTTACTATGACCACTATACTGTTCATGCTATGTTAAACTATACTTTTAACTACCCTATTTTACCACTACCACTATTAACAATGAAATCACGTGTTGTCTACCTATCAGAAGCAAGGCCCAATCAGTTGATTGCCCTGTCAGCACTGCACTCTGTGATTGTACTTTTTGCACCTCATCCCATGATAGACCTCACTTTCCCTCCTCATCAAGAGTAACTAGTATTATTAGCACTGGGACAAGACATCCCATGTGAAATGCACTTTAACCCGAGTAAGAATTAGAAAAGGGGCACTATCCCCCTTAATCTAACCAATCTCTGATTAGAAGGTAGCTGTTCCCTCATTTACAAGTGTCAAACTCTACCATAATGTTTATAATAATGTAGCTTCACGGTTTACAGACATGACGGAATTTGGAGAGGGTAGGAGGGTCACGTTCCCTTAATCGGGGTGATGGTTGGGAGACATGTTGTAGTGGAGCCGGGAGGGAATGATTGTTCACTTTATTGTAGCTCATTATCTGATCACAACACTGCACAGCGCACCTGTGTAATGTCTGTACCGGTATAACAGTAACCACGTGTGCCATGTGTCCTGACCAGTCATTCTATCAGCTACAGGAGGTTTCCTAATTCGGGGGGAGATTAAACCTGACATTAACTTGATCACTTGCCATTAGTCCCCTGATCAGCTACCAGCTGCATCATCTGACTTCAAGGCAACTTCTACTGAGGTGAACATGTGTGTTATAGGTGTAGGGTTAAACTGATGATATCTTCTACCGCGGGGCGAAGAGTTGCCGATATTATCTTCAACGTCTCAATTAGTGGAGAATTATTTGATCCAATTTAATTGGGGATATAGTTAGGCTATTATTAGCTGAGTTTCTATGCGGTGTGATTGTTTGACACGTACCTTAACAGCCTTATTACTAACACTATAGCAGTAACTTTGAAATAAATATTTAGAGTTTACACCGAAAAAAAAACACTCTGAATAATCTAGTAAAATTAAGAATCCAGTAAATAACTGTTCTGTACATTCCAGAGCAAAGGTTCACTTTCTTAACTTAAATTTCTTATTGCTGATCTAAGTTGAAGTAATCATCCTTATGGCTCAGATGAAAATTTAAACTTCTGTGTTTAACTGAGTTCACATACTAACCACTCTTTTCTGAGCAATCGAATCGAGAAATACAAATTTAACGATGAAGAACCTGCCGCTCAAATTATCATTGTCCTCCGACCTAAGCAGCCTGAAAACTTCCGGCTAGATTTGGCAGAATTCGCTGCAGCGGTGCGCTGTTTGATTGGAGAGTTACAATACGTTTTGAGATTCAATGTGGTTGAAAAGAGAGTTGCGGCGTCAGTAGGTACAGATACCTCGCCTCATCAAGGTAATACTGGCCGCACTTTACACCTTTGATTTGGTGCACCACTTCTTCACACTCCAAGAGCCCCATGACTGACCGATTAGTGAATCTCGCTCTTTTCAACCTGCTAATCAGGCACTATAAAATGTAATGGAGACCATCACCAGCACGCTACTTCACTTTATATAATGGTTCAATTCTGGCTCGAATTCTAAGAAAACCTCATCATTCTGAATATCTTACCACTTTTTCAGCCTAATCAGACACTATGAAACGTGTAACGGATTTATAGAATTATAATTCTTAATCGTGGGTCCAAAATGTAGCAGATAACGTCATAAAACAATTGTGAAGGGCCGGAAAAACAAAAGACCAGAAGAACTGAGGGGCCGAAAATTAAGGCCACCATTAATTTTGACTATTTTTCGACCTTAATTTGAGCTGAAATTTCAGACACGGCTCCACTTAAACAACAATTGCCATTTGCCCAATGTTATAATACTGTTGACGAGTAGAGAATTCCGGAATCAAAATCTCCCAATTCTTAGAATGGAAATTAATTAACTGCAAAACCATACCGTAAGTCAACTTCTTGACCTATTTTGCCAAAGTGTTTTATCTATTCAGCAAAATGTATCTTAAAGTATCATATAGTTTTAAACTAATTAAACTTTCACAGCTACAATTAAAGACATTTATTGAGGACATTACAGAAGGAATATATTGAATGTAGTCTGAGGAGTCCTCACTCTCCTCGCGTCCTAAGACAGCGTTTCTCTTGTCACATATGTTCCATATTCTAATTTCTACGGCACTGGGAGCTATATAAGAGTCGGGAAATTTTAATTCCATCTCGTACAAGGTTTATATCATCTTCACAATATGATGTATACCCTTTCCTTCTCCATTGTTGGGATTCGATTTCTAAGAACCCTTTCCAATTTCCATGTAATAAATGAGTCTGCAACTGTTTAACTCGTACAACTAAAAGCTCATGACACTGCTTCAAGGGTTCCAACTACTCAATCCTATGAGGATCGTAAAGAGAATAACACAACCGAGTTCTGAATGTTTAAGCAATTGCTGCGAAATATCATTTCATATAAAACCCCATAATTATATCCGCACATGTTTACCCATATAATGTACGCCCAAATCAAAAGTCTGATACGGTAAATGTAATAACACAGTTAAGCTAACTTTATTGAAGTTTGCACCCACTGCCTAGGGATATGTCCGTCCACGTAATTTCCACCCAAATAAGGTCCAATAAAGTATGATGACGTAGTATGATGGTAGTATGATGGTAGTATGATGGTAGTATGATGGTAGTATGATGGTAGTATGATGGTATGATGGTTGTCAATCTGTCTCCAAAGGTCAATGATGCCATTATTCGGAATGATGTTGATAAAAGTTTTCCATCAAAGCTGCAGTTAGTCGTGGTGTCAAACAGGAGCACTTGGGTTGTAGCACGTGCACTGCCAGCCGCGCCGCGCATAGATTCAGGCTTTCGTCCCCCAGGTGACAAGTATAAGTAAGCATAGCTACGTGCTGCTTCGGATTCACATAGTCAAACAAACTTGGTTTAGTAACTGAGAGAACCATCTCTAACTTTTTAAACCACGATGAGAATCGGTCGCGGTCAAATGTCAATAGATAGATAGATTCTAGGGAATCGGACTGTCGGAGATACAGTGCACAGAAGTGTAACGGGATGGGTTAGATGTTTCCAGCAGTTTGTAGAATTTTGACAGGAATATTATTTAAATTAATTATCCATGATAATTAATATCTTTATGTTATGGTGATCCTTCAAGTGTTTCATTATAAATAAGCGTTTGCGTTTGGGAGAACTTCATTCGATTAAAAAACTCATATTGGTGCTGTTCAATTAAGATTTCAAATCACTTTAAAAGGCCTCTGGTGTGGCTAAGGAAGAGGTGCGTATGTTGAACTATTTTGGCAGCTTTCTTTTTCCAGATGACAGTTAAGACACTTCAAAACAATTCAGAGTCTTAATTTCAATACTGACAAAGATTCAATGCCTAACGGCTCTTAATCAGGTTTACCAAAGCGTATATATTTTACCTGCTTCACAGTACCAATGAAGATGTTTACAAACAAATTCATTATTGTTTCAAGCATTTGTAGAAGGATCATTTACTACAAAGTATAAACAAAACAACTAAAACTCATGGCAAAATGGTATAACTTACTACAAAAATAAAAATATAACAACTTAGAGTTATAGCAACACAGAATTCCTAACAAGCACGTTTTCTATGTTTAATAGATCACATGAACTGGAGTCTGACATAGTACCATGCGACCACGCCCTTCTACCTGACATACTGTCACTTAAACCCACTTAACCCCTGTACAATCTGCATTACTGATCAGTTTCTATTCCAGTGAGGTACGATAAAGATACACTGTAAAGTTTTATATTTACATCCAGTTTAAGTTAGATAAACATGCTATCCTGTGGAGTTCTCATGGGACAATGTTTTCATTAAATTTGTGTCACATCAGACCCCCCATGAGGAGGGAACTGAGTGTGGCCGACTAGTGGCTGGGTGGGACCCGCCCTCCTCATTATCAAACTTACCCGATCCTCATGTCCACCGTATCCGAGTGGGTCAGCATCCCGACCGAGCATGATGGTTCGTTCATTGCAGGAAATCTCTAAAAAAACAAACAACAGAAGGACGTACGGATAGATAATTCTGTGTAATAGGGGGGCTACAGCGCGAGTACGATGACGGCTCTCTCGACGAGATCACGTGAGCAGTCACGTGACAGGGAAACACGCTCCGGGAGCGTGCCGAGGACCATGTGATCCCATCACGTGACTCGACGCTCCAGCACTTTGTCCTCCCCACATCCCGGCATCTTATCGCATCGGAAAATTCCGGACAATGATTATTTTTAAATTACATCCACAGCGGCTGATACAAGAGAATATAATGGAAAACACAACTCGATGCGGGAGGTGTGTACACTTGAAGACACTCAGTTAGTGCAACTACACTAACTAAACTCTTAGTTACTGATCCTTAACTAACTAAACTCACTCATTGCACTGCTGCACTTCTCGTGGGACAAAGTGGTTTAAAGTTTTGTTAGGGTAACTGTAATATAAACAATGCAGGACCTTTCTGTTTCTTACGGTCACCATTTCACACACAATGTACAATACTCGCGATACCTATAACTGTAGCAACCAACATTTCCCCAATATTTCCTGCGATACCTATCATAGCAACCAACATATCCCCAATATGGCGATAACAATTTGTAGTTAAACACATCATTATTGTCTATTTTACTGAAAACATACACCTTACCGACCTTAGTCCGGTTGCTGGGGCACTCAGCAGTAAGGAGGGTCGGCACGTTTAGCTTTAACAATAGTAAAAGCCAAATTTACAATAACATAAACTTTACCTGTTAATTTAAGTAAGTTAGGCACAGTATTTACTAAAATGCACTCTATGATCGAGATCCAAGTGGACCATATTGAAGCCAGTGAACGTCAACATTTTTTAATTCAAACTTCATAACCAATTTATTAATTATTATAAATTAATCAATAATGAATCAATAAAAGACGTGTTTTGTTCAATTTTGAGGTCCCCTAGCGGGCACGATTTACTTTAGTGCACCCGCAAAGGGACGCTCAATTATTCATTCGGAAAGAATTGTAGAGTAAGGGTTGTTATGGTAGTTGGTAGAACATTTCCTGTGGTGCCTGTCGCCTGAGAACCACTGACCTAGAGATATAGTCAAAATTTGAAAAACAAGAACACGACAAATAGATACAAATATTTTTAGAAAATCTACGTAAAATTTTGTACGACGACCGCAACAAAATTGTGCTCCATCACTATTATAGTAAGGGGTTTTTCATACTAAATTTAAAATGTTTTTCTTGTTACACTTTTTCAAAACTAAAAAATATAATTAAATTATATTGAAAAAGTAAAAGACGACTAAAATCGTGTTGACGACCCGTTACTATCATAACCTTAATCCTCCTCGCGTCCTAAGATGGTGTTTCTCTTGTATTTTATATGGTGCTAAAAATGATCATAATTTACAGGCAAAATTTATACAATATTTATATTGCCCTAAAATTCATCCGATTTTTTTAAATAATTATAACTCGTGCAAGTCCGAAATAGGCCGTGTGCTGCTTCTAGGAAGTACATATGACATTATTTTCTTATACAAAGCCATATGTTGTGCAACTATGGTAACTATGGTAACGATGGTAACTATGGTAACTATGGTAACTATGGTAACTATGGTACTATGGTAACTATGGTAACTATGGTAACTATGTTAACTACACTTGAGTGTGTTCTAACTTTACGGGATTCAATAATGGGGCTATAGAGTATGTAGTTGCAATTATTGGACTGTAGATAAAATGAAATAAAATTAAATAATAAGACTGCAGAATAGTTAAATTAATGGGCCTGCAGATGAGTTGAGTTACAGGGGTTGCAATAATTGGACTGGTGCCGGCCACAATAAGGGGGTCACTTATAATCGGTCTCAAACCCCTGCTATAAATGTTAATGTTAATTCACAGTTAGAGAATTAGTGAATCAGTTCCTCTCAGTATCCAGACTGCACCTGATTACCATGGTTACAGTATCGAGACCCTCAAGTTTCACCACTGATAAACGGTAACCAAGGTAACGGTCTCTCCAGATTTTGATGTGGCAATTCGCCCCGTGCCCCCTAGTATATTGTACCCTCAAGGCCCAGGCCTCATCTTGATAATCCATCCTCTCAATCTTAAATCACATAGTTCACCTTGATAGCCAGGTAGGTTTCACATATTTCAGGGCAACGCTTTCTCGCACTGGTTTGAATTAGTTGTACATTAAAGGAGCTAAGGATTTAATAGGCCTCATGTGTTTCGGCCAAAAATCTCGCAGTTAATTTGAATGTGGTAAAAGAGTGGAGGTCAGGACCTTGATTAACTTGGCGCTCTTTTTCAGCCATCTTCCAACCTGTTAGCCACTAATTGGAGCTGCTGAATTGTAAATCTAAGAGCTGTTGTGTGGTGTGTGTATTTGGTATGGCACACTCACTCTTGTACAGCGTTCCACATCACATGGAACAGTGTCACCGCTACTCTCTTGCCCCTACGGCTCATTGCCAACCGGTCTCTCTCTCTCTCTCTCTCTCTCTCTCTCTCTCTCTCTCTCTCTCTCTCTCTCTCTCTCTCTCTCTCTCTCTCTCTCTCTCTCTCTCTCTCTCTCTCTCTCTCTCTCTCTCTCTCTCTCTCTCTCTCTCTCTCTCTCTCTCTCTCTCTCTCTCTCTCTCGCTCTCTTTCTCTCTGGTAACGTGTCAAATTTAGACATCAGCAAGTCATGACACGAGCTGAATTATAAATAATGTCTTCCTGAGTCGGGCCAGCGGGAGGGAACTCGTGCCAAAACGTCAAGATTGGTGTGAAGAGTTGGGGGAAAGACATGGTACCTATGTACTTTCCCTCACCGCATTGGAGCGGATTAATTAATTGTATCGGTTTGTCACCAGTAATTTCCATACAGGTTATGATGAGGTAAATAAGGGAGCTGTTTAGCGTTCACTAGTTTTAAATAAAATAATGCGAGCAGTTCACTGGTGGCGGTAAATTTGTACAACATATTATTATCGCGATGAAATTCTATCACTCGTAGTGCACTACAGGTATACGTCACTGTAAATAAAATTGTAGATACTTCTGCTGCAATCCCACCACATGAGCTGCGTGTAACATGGTAGTAACAAAGAAAAAGACATTTCTATACAGAATTGTCACAAAATTCTCGATAATATGGCTCATTTCAGGGCCTCCTGAAACATATCAACTAGAGATACATTGTTACACAGGGACACACAAACAGATTAACATACATGCTACATGAATATATCAAATATATCCATAGTTGTTACGGACGTCCTGGACGAACTTTAAAAAGGTGCCGAACTGGACGAATTTTTTAACGAAATAGACGAACTTTAACCGAACTTTATCACATATGCTATAGATTATTTAGATAACAATGATAAGTTGCGAGCTGTTGCTATAATTGATGCTTAATTGTAATCTGTGAACCAGCTCTGTTTATATTGAAGTACTAGTCATCAGTCATGATCTGTTGTTGATTTAGTTTTTTTTTTTCAATACAAGTATGTATAACTATCTAACTGTATCATTTGTTTACAAGTGTAATAGTGATCGCACCTAAGCCATTCATTATAAAATCAAAACATATGCCAAGAAAATTTACGCAACGAATTTTCACGAATTTTCACGAATTTTTAAAAGGTGCCGAACTGGACGAACTTTTCGCATTTCTTCGACGAACTTAACAACTATGAATATATCACTGCGTCCTTTCCTTGTAGACTTCACAACGTCCTCATCACAACTTTTATTTATTAACTTAAGCATAATTCATGGTAACAGTAACACTAACAGAATTTCTTGTAACTATGGCAACTAACAGAATCTCCGGTTCCTCTCCATCTAGCTGTATCTGAAGAAAGGGGCAGCTGTTGTCGGCTTGAAACTCTGAATATTAACCTTGGTCTCGATAAAGTCGAGTCTGCGCTTGAGGTTGATGAAGAGCTTGTTGTTAACGGTCTGCTCCAATCTGGTCATCTTCTTGTAAAGAACTTTAACTTTAGCATCCACAATTTCCATCTTATCTCTGTCACACACTGGATCAAACAATATCCTTATCGGGGAGATCGCCTTGATATCCTCAATAGCTTGAGTCAGTTCCTCCGACCCCATCCTTTTCTCCAGATCAGCTATTGTCTCCGCTCTCCGTACTCGGGACGTTATCTCAGATCTCTCGTAGATTCGGGTATAACTGTCTGCCATGATAGCAATCATCAGGTTGAGGACCACGATACTGCTAACTACAATCCATACCAAAGATATTATCATCCACCAAGCTGGTGGTACTGACCTGGACATGCCGTCTTCATACTCGTAATCAGCTAGCACCATCCTCAGTACGGCGAAGAAAGTGCCGATAAAATCCAGTTCGGTGAAAGTATCACCTCCTCCTCCACTCCCCCCTTTAGCAGCGGCCCTCCTCTCCCTACCATCTAGTTCCTCCAGCTCTTCTATTGGAGCTTTAGTGCCGTCCTTGGTGAATATGGTTTTGTAGAACACGATGAGAGCAGGCATAAAGAGGGTGATGAACATGGTGCAGACTGTCCACATGTCCGAGGGCACGTACTTCATGAAGATAACGAAGGGGCCGATCTTCTTGGTGATCTGCAGCTTGAGAAAGGTGTTTGTCCAGAGGCAGATGATGGCTATAGCTCCGAAAATATTCTCGATGCTAGCAACAACGCTATTGAAGTTGGATAGCACCTTGATTATGAGATAAATTAGAAGAATGTGGTCTATGATGAGATCAGTAATCAAAGAGGGTGCTTTTTTAATGTCATTAATGAAGGTCAACTTCTCGGTCGTGCCTGCCTCCCTGGCCGCACGCATCAGATGTTGTCCTTTGGAATGCATGATAGAGGCCTCACTCTTGTCCATATTAGTCATAACCTTACGAATATGCATCAAGAAGGTATGCCTCCTTCTCATCAGCATGGTATTAACTCTGAGACGGAGCAAGTAACACACCAGCGCTGCTACGTATACAGCTAGATGGATATAGTGGATGTACCTCATCTCCTGTGTGGTTAATGTCTCTGTTATCATGTACAGAACTGTCCAGATAATGGATACGATGGCTAGACATCCGAACATTTTCTTGGTAGGTTTCTCTCCGTACAACACCCACTTGGCTTCTGTTAGGTGCTTAAATACAGGGTGCTCTACGATCCCTAGATTGCCTTGCCAAACCAGGAATTGGAATAGAGAGGTCTTGATGTCCGCTTCAGTAGCCAGTATATCCTCTAAATTGTAGTGCCTCTCGCCTGAAAGGAAGTTTGTTAATCATCAAATAATATTATATTAAGTCGCGAGAAAGTCTCACATTGGAGTTAGATAAAACAGATAATATCATTGTACAGTTAAAACCAGAATTATGAGATACCCTTGAGAAGTTCCTCAGTACAGAGTTTATCGAACACGTCTCGTATAACAACAGGCATACTGTACGCAATCCTGATAGCGGAACTTATACCCGCACTGTCCACTACAAAAGCGTTGGCTCCTAATGCCACCAGGTAGGAAGTAACGTTGGAGTGCCGGTAGTATGCCGCCAGAGCTACTGGGGTTAGTCCCAATCTGTCCTGGCAGTCTATATCGCACTTCTGGGGCAAATAATATCAAGTTAATACTCATTACTCAAAAACGTCTGTTATGAATTTCAAGTTTTAAAAGCAATGCAAATTGCGTGTGTGCACTGTGCAGTGTGCACACCGAGGTGTTTTTATTCTACCTTTTGTAGTAAGAATCTTGTCATCTCCTTGCAGCCGAACATAGCAGCCACGTGCAGAACACTCCTCTCACTCTCCCCTACAGTAGTGTTCAGATTACACTCCTTCTCCACCAACACCTCCGCCGTGTCCACATTGTTAGCCATAGCCGCGTACATGAGGGGCGTATAACCCAGCTCATCCTCAGCGTCAATCTCCACGTGTCCTTTAAACTTGACCTCGGTTAACATTGAGATATCCTCCCCTCGGCAGTACTGAGCAGCTAGGTGGAGGATAGTCTGGTGGTTGAAGTCCTTTATCTTGATGTCTTCTGGTTTTATCTTGCATGTCAGAGCGTACAGCTCGTCCTGGTCTGTCTCCAGAATCTTGTTGTTGAACTTGTTTGCTCCACACCTGTTGGCTAGCTTAAGAAAGTACGCGAAGAGGGCGTATCTTGGGTCCTTCTGGTTAAAGTTAGTGATAGATCTAGGAATCACCTTCTTCATGGACATACGACGTCGAGTGTCCATGATTTGCTTGTGAGCCGAGAGAACGTACACAAAGGTTGCAGCTTGCTAATGGTGCACACTGGTGAGGTGAATTACTGCATTGTAAGACATCCTGATCCCGGAAAGCACATTTGTCTGACCAATACAATACACCTGCTAATAATCTGTGTTACGCCCATACATCTTCTTGTGCACAACCAGGTCTGTCAAATTACTTGCTGCAATTATCTTAATTACATCAGTCATCCACCACTTTATTAACTTGTCAGAATTTCTCGGGAGACACCGAAAAAAATACATAAATACCAAACAAAATATGTGCCCAAAAAATTGTAAGCTGTTTGTAACTCATAGGTAGTGAAGTAGATGCTGAGCTCCTGTATTTCCTGAAGCTAGGAATGGACAAACAACAGTCTACTAAACTACCACATTTTAACTGTGCGGCTAGTTTTCGTAATGCTATCACTAGTCAAGGCTATGATCGATCATTAATTTAAGTTTCAACAGTTTACTGTACAAACAGAACTAAGCGCAAGGTTAAAATTGAGTTTAAATCATCTGTAAATTTTGGGTTGTTAGGTATACGTTCGATCAAATAGAAATATCAAAATATCGTGCACAACTTGGGTCAAAATAAATACGTGAAAATAAATATGTCTAGAAAGGCAGCAACCATACCGGAACATATACCATACCAAACATAAAATTATCGCCATTAGTTGTCCTCACACCTGCATCCAAAATATTAGTAGCGTTATGAAAAATAAAACCCTTGCAAGACTGGTAAAGGACTAGAAACCCTAATAGGCCAAGAAGTCACGTCAGCAACATTAAATATTTGGTCTGTAGGTTTTAAAAAAAACCGGAAATCTGGAATTCGCATGAAATACTGCCTAAACATCACATATTCTGTTTTACTAGGGCGAGAAAATATTAGGTAAGTTAATCCAGATAATTATTTATTTTGACGTCTAAAAGAAATAGAGCCCTAGGCTGAGCGTAAATGTGCCAGGCGTCTTAGAAAAGGCTTATTTGTTTGGTTGCGGCGGTGTTTAAACTTTGAACAGGAGAAATGGGGGGGGGGGGGGGGGGGGGGGGGGGCGGGGGGAGGAGTTTGATTGCCTTGTTGGCCATAAGCATTGAAAGATGAAAATCAGCTTTATCATCGGAAATAATTGAACACAATCCGAGAAATGAATGGTTATAGACTAGAAAATCTAATATAATATTAATAAGGACATTAGATCTAAGGTAGAAGCAAAAATTATACACTATCCAATATAATATCAATGTTTTGAAAACTCTGTATGCAAAAAGCATGACACATGTTTCAATTACCAAGCCATCTTCCATGCATGCACACCAACAAATCCAAAGTGGAATCTTTTCGCTGAAAGCACACTTTAAACAATTAGCAAAGTGTTGATGTAAGTTTGGTAAAAAAGTCATTAAAACGTTTGAAAAGAAATCAACATGTTGTACTTGTAGCTTCAGATTATATAAAGTGAACGTTTAAAATGTTTACAGCCAGTTTACGGTTTCTCTGCTCGGTATACTTTTTGCAATAGTTTAAAATCAGTGTGTCAGCTTGTATAATATCAGAGAAACCCACAACTGTTAAAATGATAATGGCTGGAGGACTAACTGACAAGCGCAGAGAGAGACATCAGACTCAAATTAGCGATTATAAACAGTGAGCGCTTCCTCGATAAAGCTAAGTTTCGTCATCAAGAAAGAAAAAGTCTATCTTCAACCAACCTCTCCAGCTTAGAAAGGCGGCCATTAACCCCGATTAAGCCCCATTAGCGATTATAAACAGTGAGCGCTTCCTCGATAAAGCTAAGTTTCGTCATCAAGAAAGAAGAAAGTCTATCTTCAACCAACCCCTCCAGCTTAGAGAGGCGGCCATTAAGACCCTTGATCCGTTCCTCCACCACACTAACCCTATCTCTATCACAAACAGGGTCGAAGAATTCTTTCAATGGCTGATCGGTTGCTAAAGTTTTTGTCAAATTTCTTAGCGTTCCTTTTAACATTCCTTTTTCCTCGTCACAAATAAACTGAGCTCTCTGTATCCTAGCCACCAGCTCCGCCGTCTCAAAGATCCTCTGGTAGCTGTCAGTCATGAGCGCTATCAAGAGATTGAGGACTAGGACACTTGAAACAACCACCCACACCAGGGAGATAACCATCCACCATATTGGCCTTATTAAAACTTGGTTAGATCGGATGATACCATCATCATAGTCGTAGTCTCCCAGAACCATTCTCAACACTCTGAAGAAGGTAGTGAGGATATTAATACCCTCCAGATCTTGTACTTCTATTTCCACTCCCCCGGTTCCTCCCCCTGGTTTAGCAGCTCTTCTCTCTCTGTCACCAGACTCTGTCATGGCTATTTGATCGTGTCCACCCTTCACGTAGATTGTCTTGTAGAAGACAAGGAAAGCCGGAGCAAACAGTGCTAAAAACATCATACTCACCTTCTTGAGGTCAGACTGAGCGTACTTCACGAACACAACGAAGGGTCCTATTTTTGTAGTGATCTGGAGTTTATAGAAACCGTTCACCCACAGTATCATAATTACACAGGCTCCGCATACGTTCTCTATTCTGGATAGCTGGGGGTAGAAAAAGGAACATATCTTTAGCGGGACGTAAAGGAGCAAACAGAAGTCTATCAGGAAATCTATTATCAAGGTTGGAGCTCTCTTCAAATCATTGACAAAACTAATCGGATCAGACTTATCTATGTTCTTATCGATCAGATGTTGTCCTTTTGGATGAACTACATTCTGTTCGTACAGTTCGGTGACAGCGACGAGTCTTCTAACAAACACACAATACGTGTATCTCCTGTACAGAGCTGAAAAGTTAGTTCTGAGTCTGTATAGGACCATGAGGATGCCCACTACGTACACAGTACTATGGGAGTAATGAGGACCAGAGAGGGAACCCTGGACAGGGAGGCTGCCTAACATGTACACTCCTAGCCACACCATCTGATACACTCCCAGGAAGAAGAAATCTCTTTTAGCGGGCCCTGCCCCGTACTGCTGCCACTTAGCGTCCGTCAACTGGTGGGGGAAAACAGGGATTGCATGGAATTTAACAGAGATTTTTTGAAATTCTTATACTGATTGACTACATGAATGTAACGATTCAAGGATTTTATCCCAGGATATGCACTCATTTTTTCGAGTTATAAATCCAATAAAACATTGTTTGTAGATTGGCGACTGCACTTAAGCTACAAGATCTTGGTCGGTTCAAAATTCGGCATCACTAAAGTTTGTCAGTATTATCTGAATTAACTAGAGATTCAAGTAGTCCCCCACCTGTTTGAAGACAGGATGCTCCACTATTCCCATGTTCCTTTTCCATACCAGGAAGTGGTAGAGGGAGCTGTGCACGTCTTCGTTCACGTTCAGCAGTTTGTCAAGATTGTAGCACCGCACCCCTGAGAGGTTTTCAGGTTTTATGGGGATATTGTATTAATATTATCTGTAAGGAGGACTGAGTTGGTGAAATGTAGTCTTACTTTTTAAACTATGATTCGGCGCGATCTTATAGGATCTTATAAGATCGCGCCGAATAATAGTGTTAAAAAGTGTGTTTATAAGTTATAAACATGATACTAATAGTTTCTTATTAAACTGTCGGTACTGAAAGTTAAATATAGCTACAGTATAACCCCGATATACCGCGGCCATCTCCTTTCCCCCAAATAGGGCTTAACATGTATAATGTAAACAAACAAAACCCAGATTTACCGCGGATGTTTCCTTTCCCCCAAACTCCGAGGTAAATCGGGGTTTTACTGTACCTTGGTAAAGATCCTCTGAAACGAGAGTTTGGAACACATCGCGTATCATAGTGGGCATGGTGTTTGCCATCCGGAGGGCACTTGTAATTCCATACTTGTCTGCAACAAAGGGGTCAGCCCCGACCGACAGAAGATACTCAGTAGTTTTAGAGTTTCTGTAGTACGCTGCTAGGGCTATGGGAGTCAGGCCTAGTGACTCTTGCTCGTCTATCTTGCAGCCCTGGATTGTTTAAAAGTTGTATCAATTAAATTACCATTTTTATATCGTTTATCAATCGGTGCCGTGCACTGTGTAAAAATTAGAACTTAAGTTCTTGATATAACAATGAGTAATGCAGCAAGTTACTGAGTAACAGTTACACAACAAACAAGACAAAGTATTATTAGGGTGCACCTAGATTACTTGAACTGAACGAAACGGAATCCTAATCAGGGCTTTTAATTTGATATAAACCTGAAATCAAATTGTTAGTCAAATATCTTTAGTTGTGAACATCGTAGAAATTCGCCAACATTTTTTCAGATTATCAGTTTTATGGCCATCCTACTGTATCTGGAAAATTGCATGGTAGGATCTTGAGATAAACAGGTGCCTCAATACAGATCATTGGTACGTCAACTCTGTCAGTGACTCAAAAGTACTTTCGTTTTCGTGGTGCTGCAAAAGTAATTTTGTCTTTGAGACACTTACAGAGTTGAGGTACCAATGATCTGTATTGAGGCACCTGTCTATCCAGATATTCCAGATAATATTACTATTAAGATGGCTATAGTCTATAAGTATAAGACTGATAATCTGAGAAGGTGTTGGCAAATTTCCATGTACCAAATTTGAGATATCTCTTTGAACACTTCAAACACAATAAAATATATAAGATATGGTTTATAATAATATAATAATAATATTTCGATTTTTTCAAATATCGTTATATTTTATTTGACCAATTCTAATTTTCTTTACAGTCAATGTCGTCGATTTCGATATTTGAAATTTTGGAATCTGAAAAAGAAAACCCTGAAACATTTTTGAAAGCCGGTTATTTTATATCAGGAATGAAGAATGGCTATATAAAAGGATCCTGTTTTGATCAGTCCAAGAAATACTAATAGGTGTACCTAATAATGCGTTGTCTTGTTTGATGTGTAACTGTTACTGCATTACTCAAAATTATTTTTATATCAAAGACTGTTTTAATTTGTACACGGCACCCACCGATAAAGTGCCTCCAGCGTAGAAATGTGCACCGTGTTACTTTTAGCTTTTTAGGCAAAATGCCGCACAACAAAGTAGTCTCGTTTACCTTGTCAAGTAAGAGCCTGAGCACGTCGTCACTACCGTACATTGCAGCAATGTGAAGTGCACCTCTATTGCACGTGGTACCGCGCGCAGTTAGATCCGCCCCACGACTGATGAGAGTATGTGCAGTGACTGTGTTGTTGGTTATAGCTGCGTAAAAGAGAGCAGTGTAGCCGTGGTGGTCGGTTGCGTTAACTTCCGCACCCATGTCCAGGAACAAGGAGACATCGTCCACTGGTCGGAGGAGGGGGTTTGACAAATCACAAAATCAGTAGACGGGTATTCGGATCAGTGGCGTAACGTTGCCTGTTGGCGCCCCCGCTGAAAAAGCGCCCCCCTGCTGGTGCCATGCCTCCTCCCCTTTTGGCGCCCCTCCTTAAGATTGAACAAATTAAATGATTTTAGAGGATACGCTGGTAAAATCTCTGAAAAAGTGTGTTTCTAGAGCAAAACGCGCAGTTTTGCTAGTACCGTAATTAAGTTTTTCTAAATTGTCCCACATTAAAACGACTATTTGGCGCCCCCTAAGATGGTGCCCCCGCACAGTGGGGTCAGCGGGGCCCTTCGTTACGCCACTGATTTGGATGCGTAAAGAATCTTAGGATATTATATGTTGCTATTCTTAAACTAAACGTTTTACAATAAGTATCTTCTATGTATAGTAACTACAAACCGGAACAGTACTGAGTGGCTATGTGGAGAGCTGTCTGCCCGTACTCATCCTTTATGATCATGGTATCCAAGGTAACCCTGTCTCGTAGTTTCTTATACTCAGTAGGCAGGTTGACGTAGGTCTCCCTGTCAGCCCCGTACCACTCCGCCAGACTATCCAGGTAAGCGAACAGCGTGTACTTCTCGTCACCCTCTGGGTACAATGTTATAGGTTCACATCCACTGAATAGCAGACTGCTGGTTCTTGTTGAGCTGATCCCATCTGAAACCACACTTCCATCCTTCATCCCTGCGCTACTTAAACCAATAACTTGCGTTACAAAGCTGTGAAAAGGAAAACTAAAAGTGATTCTTGCAGAAATCTGGGAAATGGTGATTAGTACTCTGCCGTCATGCTCCTTAGTATTTTTACTGATTGTTTACTTCCTCTCGACCTCGTTACATACTGATTACCATATCCTTCATCAGTTAAATTACCACGTGGAGGACACGTGCCCTAACCGCTGTTCCATTGCTGCTCCCGGATAGGTCCACCCTGTAGTTCTGAATATTCGCTCTATTCATTCAATTGTTAATTAATCTAACAAGTAATTTATTGTAATAACTGGTTATCTTGATAAAAATGGGACGGTTCGTGAACTGTTAGTGTTAATCCCCACTCAAAAGAAGCTCACCAAAAACCAACTTTCATCTAAACTAACCTGGCAGTATTTCTGCCCTGTTCGTATGAGATAAATAACTATAAACCACGCCACACTGCAGTAACATATGAGTCTTTAGGAAAATTGCCCGCCCCGCGGTTTTTACATTTCCTGGTCCTCTAAGAGTTGTCCAACAACGATCTAGTTAACGGGAGGGGTTCGGTTTAAATTCTCACGGACCACAATTAGCCTCATCTACTTTATTACTTATTTACATACCTGGTAACTTGTTATTTGCATACCTGGTAACTTGTTATTTACATACCTGGTAACTTGTTATTTGCATACCTGGTAACTTGTTATTTGCATACATGGTAACTTGTTATTTACATACCTGGTAACTTGTTATTGCAGTGGTGCTATTTTTCTAAATCATGTTGAATCAACATTACCTCATTATGTAAGTTGTAACCAATCAGCAAATATTTATTTTACATTTTATAAACCTCAAACCCGTGAGTTTCACTTTCACACAATCTAACGTTTTCACGCTTGAAAACTACTATTTCATTAAATCTGATAACAGATAAACAGCCTCGAAAATGTTTGGGATGATTGAGGGGTGTCGTCGTTAAATGTTCGGTTATCGGATCCTGTAAATATCACATATCATTAACTAGCGATATATTATTATATGTCGAACATCTTGTTGTTTTAAAAGTTCACTACAAATTCATTAAGCATGAGTACAATTATCCTTTCTTTTATTTATATTTTATCCGAGAGTACTTTAGATTGGGAGTTGATTAAATAATCCTTAGTTTTAAATAACGCTTACTTCAGGTTAATAGTGATCCTGCATCACATAGTAGCTTCTCAGTTCTGTAAGTTTCTTAAAGTTAAACACGACCGTTTTCCGTCCAAACTCCAAACCTATTACAAATAAAACCAATGTGTTACTGGGTGTTGCTTTGTCAGTTTAAAGGAATCCGATCAATTCTAATCCATTGTTAAACGTATTAGTATCGCTTAAACACTAGTATAAATATTATATTACTTACTATTCAGTAATTCAAATAATTTGCAGTCGATCCGAACAGTTTTGGTGTTGGGAACGGTAAAAGATCAGTCCTCGACTTAGCGTCTTATATCTCTCAAGTAATTTAGTAATAACTTAAAGTGATTGTTACGTTGTACGTGACTTAGCGTCTTATATCTCTCAAGTAATTTAGTAATAACTTAAAGTGATTGTTACGTTGTACGTGACTTAGCGTCTTACATCGCTCAAGTAATTTAGTAATAACTTAAAGTGATTGTTACGTGACGGATATAATATGTGAACTTCAGCTCATTATGACTTTCATTTTTACTCGCAGCTGGTAAGTGTTGAATAGAACTCGACGAATTTGATATTTGCTGCACAATTCTTCCGGTATATATAAATGCAATAACTCAATTTACGTTGGGAAGATTTCATCAAACTTAACAATGATTAATAATAGTAACTTCCAGGTGCAAGCTACGGTAGAGATCGGTGGTTAAATATAATTTCTCTCTTCGTATTCATCCAACTTCATTCATTTTAAGATGCAGAGTCTAAAAGATTGAAGATACACTGCACTTGACACTTAAAGCTTTTGAGAGATAACTCGGTATTGACTACCAACTAGTGATCTGAGAAGTCCCTGGAATTTTACGTTTTCTTTACGTTAAAACGTTGAACGTAGCACAAAAGACGTAGACTATTAAAAGAGGGCCAGGGTTATTTATACTAAAGATCCAATCAATGATTGGATACTATGACTAGGGCTTCCTCATTCCTTTTATGATTTTATGTTTAGCAAGATTTAATAATGATAGTTAAAATTTTCATTAACAGTTAACCAATGGCGTGTCATACATATTCATATGTTATTTAACCAATTTGACACATCAGACGAGTAAAATAATCCTTGATTGACGATGCCAACCCCTCACAGCCCGTTCATCGTTACCTGGCACGCCAATCCCAATGCGAGGCGCTCTTTTCAAGCTTAGCTTCTCGCATACACATAATATATGTACGTGAGAGCAGCGAGCAATATATAGACTAGCAGTAGCAAGCTATGTAACCCAGCTTGCAGCTTTTCTTTTACCTGGGGACCTCAGGCTATCATGTTCATAAACATAAAACATAAAGATTCGGCGGAATGACAGGCTGAGCGCGTCCCAGTAACTTTTCTTAACCGTCAACGAGTGATACTCGTTAAATATTTGTTCCAAATAAATACCGTCAACGAGTCCAACTCGCCTTTTGGTTATTGACCTGCATGGCAAGTTGCAAGTACAACTACCACGTCGTGAGAGCGTAGCAGAATTCCAATTACCTAGCTTGCTTTCATTTAACCATGTCACATGTCCTTACGTACAACATACGCGTACGACGTGACACGCTCATTATCAATATTTTATAAGGAAATAAAAATAATCGGCGGTCGTGCGCTACTGCAAGGGCGAAAGGGCTTAAGGTAAAAATAGGGGGTGCACGATAAAAATAAACTTGCTCGGATTTTAAAATTTTTTGTACCAAGCTGTTTTCTAGAGACTGTGAGAATTTTCACAATACCAAATTTGTCATACCTTTTTGGGAAGATCAGTGAGTTTCGCCTAGGTGCCATATTTGATGCTGCGCGGATTTTGGAGCAAAAATAGCTGTAAAAGTCGCGTAATTTGACCAAATTCGTTGATTTTTGTCGTATTATTCAAATATATCTTTGGTTCCTTGAATGGGCTTTTACTAATTCGCTCGCCCAAAAATTTCACGTGACTTTGGTTTTTATGGTTTTGCAGCCGTACAAAACGGTTTTACATAAACCCTAATCCCAACCCTAACCCTGGCCCTAACGGCTCTTACTAAATTGCTCGCCCAAAAATTTCACGTGACTTTGGTTTTTTTGGTTTTGCAGCCGTACAAAACGGTTTTACATAAACCCTAATCCCAACCCTAACCCTAACAATAATCCCGAAGCTATCCATAACCCTTACCACAACCCTAACCCTAACCCGAGCCCTAAACACTCGAGTTCATGTTTTACTAGCCTGTCACGTGACCAAAACGGTTTTTTGCCCATAACTCTCCAGGGAAGCATTTTTAATTTTACCCTACGTCATGGGGGGTGATTCGGAATCAGCGTCCAAAAAGACACCAATTCTGATCAATTTCACACCCAAAGGGCCTTTTCACAAGAATTTTCTTAAAATTTGGGCGAGCGATTTAGTAGGAGCGCCTTGAATGAGATCATTCTGAAAATTGGCGACGACCTTCCAATAGGGCTTTCACAACTGTCCGAAAAATTTGGTGGATATCGGAGTTGATATAGTGATCAAAATGGGGCAAAATACGCTGCTTTGAGCTGTAACATAATGTTTGATGGTTGGATATGCTTTAAATTTTTCAGACACTTTCCTTGTAAATCTATGAGTAAGCTTACCAATTTTTGTTGCAATCGGAGGTCGGGAAGGATACTTAATGTTTATTTGTTTGAAGAAAATTGTGCTGGCCGAAATTAGCGCGGCTCACTTTGTCATACGTTGTATGACCCGCCGCGCACGAAGTGCGCGGCTCCCCCTGTAGCGTCGAAGACGCTATAGTGAAGCGACCGTGGGGGTCACCACGTGATACAAGGCTCACTATCGATGGCGCACTACCTAGTAAAAATAATAACTTGCTAGAATATTGCAAGATTTTGTTTGCAGACTAGATATTATGCAAGAAGCTGGAAAAGAGCGCTGTGCCTACTGCCTAGGCAATACCAATAGGGATAGGCGCGCTATATAGTATAGTAATACTTGTCATACGTTGTAGACCTGCCGCGCCCGAGCACCGAGTACGCGGCGCGGCTGTATCGTGGCTTTCGCCACGATACTTAGTGAAGCGACAAAGGGGGTCACTACGTGATACAAAATAATACTAATGGGTAAGTAGCAGAAAAACGAACTGCGAAGGATTGACGTCGTCGCGGCTCCCCCTGTATCGTAAAAACACTATAGTGAAACGACGCGACGATGGGGGTCACGACGTGATACAATGCATACCCATTGCATTACCCATGCAGTGGGACGAAAGCACATGGTTTGCTAGGCCTAGGTGGATTTGTATCACGTCGTGACCCTCATATATTCTCATTTTATTTAATTTAGTGTCCAGTGTCGGGGCAATTTGTATCACGTTGTGACCCCCATTGTCGTTTCGAAGTATCGTTGCACTAGTAGTAAAGTCAGTCATTCTGAACTTTGGGGTTAAAATGTTAAAAATTTTGGTTGACCTAGTGTTATGGTTGTCAGGTGGGTCTACCTGACAGATTAGAAGGCAGGGTTTCCTCGACGAACATGTGTAACCCTCATATAGGGATATTGGAGCACGGAATTTCATTATCTTGTAGAGCTCGAGGTAACTGTGGTATGTATAGAGATTTTGTATAGCTAGAATATTATTATGCTTAAATATCGGTTTGGTGTGTTCTTTTATGAAAAATTTTTGGTCAAGTTTCTGGTGTCCTATAGGCCTAGTACGTGCACAAGTCTTAAACTTATCAAGGTACGCCAACCTATCACCAAATAGTACTCTCAACTCTGAGACAGTACTTCTGAGCAGTAAATGTTGAGCTTATACGTTGCTTAGCTGCCCCACCCCATACAGATATACAAAACAGTTACTAATTCACTCGCCAGCGCGCTATCACGTGTTTTTAATGCCGTGATTTCATTGGTCACGTCACCTCTATAACGCGCATTGTTTGTGACAGGACAGTTTTTTCACATAATTTGTCAACCGCGCGTGCAATAAACTCAATTTAAGCTCCGCTTTGTGACCGAAATGGGCCCTAATATGGAATTTATGCAACGCATGGCCGGTAATTAGCTAATTGAATTTTCGGCACAAGGACCAGGTTGCATATTACATATACTCAATATACTCAATATACTCAATGATGGAAGTATAGTGTATTGGCTATGCCCCGCTTACTAGTTTAGCTCTTTCTAGTCCCCTGCTACACGGCATGTAAACAGGGATTGGCTAGTTAGAGGCGGTCCGTGTAGGCCTTACACTGTGCTTTCAGCAATACTCATATACTTAAATACAGTGTAACATATTTTATTATTTTATTATGTCAATTAATTATATTAATTACGTCGCAAGAATGTTATCTGGTTCTTGTACCAGCTAGCTGCATGTTTGAAGAATTAAAACAAAATTTTATGACGACTCGTCAATGAGCTGTTAGAATTATAATAACAACATGTAAAGATCTGCCGTTTTCTGACAAAAGTGCTTAAGTAACATTTTGGAAATTTCGGGTTTTTTGGTCCAACTTTTGTTTTTGGGTCGAGAACTATCCCTGAGGACCATTGGATAGATTCGCCGACCCCCCGAAACCCCCTTTTTGGAACCCCCTAAAATGTAAAATATGGTCATTTTTCTGAGAAAAGTGCTTAAGTAACATTTTGGAAAACGGGTGCCGTTTATCTCAAAAACGGTGCCATTTCGGGAACTGAAAACGGTGGCATTGTTTTTTACGCCCAAAACTGGCCTAGTGACGGTAATTTGGTGATCGTGGGTCTTTTGGCCTGGGAGAAAACAATTTATGTCACTTAAGCACTTTTGTGAAAACGGGCTCGTTTTCTCACAAAAGTGCTTAAGTGCCATTATACGTTTAATTAAATGTTGATACTGCCAACTGAAACTATATAATCGGTACTAACAAATCTAAATTTTCACGGCAGATCGATTGGTGATGGTCATAAACTTCAGAAACGCTAGCTTCGCCGTCAAAATTGCCGATTTGTCAATGCAGAACGTTTCAAAATATACGTCATAATTTGCTTTAAAATTTTGTATTCTCTTATAAGTTGAGACTGGCGGGATTATCGACAGGCAAGGGAACATTACCAAAGAGATTTGCTTCACTGCTCCTTCTCTGTTGATATGGAGAAAGTTCTTTTACTACCACACATGTAGTACAAGGAGTACAAGGAGGCGATTTTTACAAGACGCCTTGTCACATTTAACGAGACCTTCGCGAGGCTGGGGTCAGACGGAGCTCCTTTAGCGATTGTTTGGAATGAGTCAATCGCAGGAAGGAAAGATGAGAATGTGTCCTCGACTTGGATAAGGGCAATAAAAATTTTTGCCAGTTAGTTGGCAAGATTGGTATCATTTTTTGGGCAGACAATTGTTCTGCTCAAAACAAGTGTTGGACTTTATTTACTGCCCTATGTTCATCAACAGCCCAGATGTTGACCTGGACAAGATAACGGTCAAGTATCCCCAGTATCTAAAGCCAGTGCACACCTTTATGAGTGCAGACTCATTCCACCATAAAGTGGAGTTGTCCATTAAACAATCAGGTCAACTTCATGATTATATGGACTTTGTTCAGGCAGTTGAACAGGTGGGTTTTGCGATAAGCATGAACTGCACATACTTTGAATCGTGGCCAAGGTCCTACGGAGCAAGCAACTAAAAAAACTAAAGATGTTAAAGTTGTAAGTTTCCAGCGTGGGTCTGTAGAAATGGAATGGAAAACAAATCATGACGAGGTTTCCTTTCATTTCACTCCATTTCTCAGACAAAAAGACGAGAGACTCATTTCCATAGGTTGCAAAATAGCTTTCGCCCAGGACGAGCCCCGGGGGATAGCTACTCCCAAAAAACAAGACATTATACGTAAACTGTGCAGGCTTATGGCCCCGAGTAGTAGGGTATTCTGGATGAACTTGCCTGATAGTACAGCTATATAACAGATATCTTAATCGAGTGTTTGACTAAAAATCAACTATTTCTTGTATTATTTACCATTTATTTATGTACAGCATTACTTACAATTATGTTACATTTTTATACGCTTGTTTTTCTCTGCCTCGCGTTACGATATCAATAATTCGCAAATCATTGGTCTTTATGAAGAAAGCCTCATCTGAGTTCTTAATTTAATTTCTAAAGAAAGCAACTTATTTATTATTATCCCGTACTTTCACCAATCAACTCTTCGTTGAAATGCTGGTAGAATTTCGACTATTTTTTAATCCGCTGGGGAGAAGGGAGTGTTTTCGTGTTCTTAAACCACCACCAATCAATTTGTCGTAAAATTTTAGGTCAGAATGATCGCAGATAAAGTTCCCACTAATGTGGCTGTACTTAAGCACTTTTCTCAGAAAACGAAATTTTCTATTTCAGCGTGTCCCCTATTTACAACCAATGTTTCATCACAACAGTTTTAGGCTAATTTTTCGTTTTTCTCTCGATGACCAATGGTTTGAACGGGTCATTTTCATCAGAACATGTAGTATTTGCCGATGTGACTGTACTTAAGCACTTTTCTCAGAAAACGAAATTTCAACTTTTCTATTCCAGCGTGTCCCCTATTTACAACCAATGTTTCATCACAACAGTTTTAGGCTAATTTTTCGTTTTACTTTCGATGACCAATGGTTTGAACGGGTCATTTTCATCAGAACATGTAGTATTTGCCGATGTGACTGTACTTAAGCACTTTTCTAAGAAATTCAAACTATAATTTGTGATTTTGAGGCACTTTCCGAGAAGTTAGGATGATGAAACTTTGTCAGAAGTCTCAAAAGTCGACAAAGTACCTTAGAAACATAGTGGGTGCAGTTTAAATTGGACAATAGCTAGCCCAGAGCAATTACAGAATTGAAATCTTTAACCTCAATTTACACAAAATGAACCTTGTGTTACTTAAGCACTTTAGTCAGAAAACGGCAGAGATGTAAAGATCGGTAATCTTTAATATAAACGCTACAGTTGATAAAATAAATGAAGGCAAAAAAAAATCATTAACAAAATATATCGCTGATCGCCTTATAAAAGTGATAAAATAACTGCAGTTGTTAAATAGAACTCAAAGAGTCTGAATGAAATTAACAATATCGGGAGCAATTAACAGTAACTGACCAAAACCACTAATCAATCATTATATTTTGATACTTCAGATTCTGTAATTATACGATTTTCCTCAAACCTATATAATACCGACCATGATCGATATTTAAGTATAAGATAGCTTTATTAAAACTTTTAATCTGTGCATGGCAAGTGTGGGTGAACTCCTATGTGACAATTTTAATATCACTAAATATCTAAAAATCTCTAAATTTCTCTAAATGAAATTATCCATCGCATCATATTATTATAATATTAGTGCAACTATAAGTGCCTAATTCAGTGAGGATTTCTCTATTGCAGTTGGATTGCAAAATAAAACACGTGGCAGAAGCATGAACTCGCTCATCAAAACCGGCCGAATTATATAGTCAATTTAATTCTGAGCGCCAAACACGTATCCGATAGTAAACAACAAAATGTTAATTCTCTGTCTTCTCTGTTCTCTTTACCGAATCAAACGAGGAAAAAGCGGAATCGCAAATCCTAAAGTTTCAAAATTAAAGATATTTTTTGTGCTCAATATAACAGTGCATCATGGATATAATATTAATTATAAAGGCAGAATGGTCATAAATTTTTACTCGAAATCACTATCGCTGTGTTGACCAGTGTATTTCGGAAATAGTTTCCGCTTTTTCTTCGTTGGCTTTGGTAAAGTGGCTGCAAAATCGTCTCGGCGGATTTGGGCATTTTCTCCTAGCTTCCGAACCCTGAAAGAAATTGATATATTTAAATTTATTCAATAGATTGATTTAAAATCTTTGGATATGCCGGTTTCGTTTATACCAGTTTATTAGTATAATTGTGTGCTGTGACTAGTGAGTGACTACATGCGTTGGTAATATTGTGACTATTTGTTACTATATTCTCACTCATTCGCTTGCCTTAACATTATCACGTGAATTTGGTTTTAATGGTTTTGCAGTCGAACAAAACGGTTTCAAAATTCACATTAACCCTAATCCAAATCCTAACCATAACCCTGAAGCTATATCCGTGACCCTAGCTATAGACCTAAACCTATAACCCGAGCCCTAAACATTCGAATTCGTGTTTAACTATAATGTCACGTGACCAAAACAGGTTTTTGCCTATCAATTTCCAGGGAAGCGTTTTTACCCTACGGGAAGTGATTCGAAATCAGCGTCCAAAAATACACTGGGAGACTTTGGGACCGGAAACTGATCCGGCCCCCAAAGAGGGGTCAGATCACGTCACCAATTAGTGACGTATAATTAGTGATGTGATCCATGGATTGAATTTAATTGACATAGAAATGTGCTAGATCTGGGGTAGAGTTCACATGTCAATTCTGTAATTCATAGCTGTACATTAAGAAGTAAACATGATCTGACTGCTCGACTCGTAGATCACATAAGGGACGGGAGCTCTTGCTAAAGGGGGGGTTCTCGTAAATATTGGGTGATAGAAGGTAGTAGTATCGCATTCTATCAACAGTCATGCCTACCTTCTCCAAGTTCCTCAACGGTTTCAGAGGATGTCAACAGGTGCTTGATTCTGACCAGGAGGTGACCGGGACATGATTTCAGGCCTGACCGGGACCGGGATACAAAATGTGACTTGACCGGGACTGAGATTCAAAGAGATTATCAATTTACCGGGACCGGGACCGGGACCGGGATGAAAAATGTGACTTGACCGGGACCGGGTCCGGGATAGCTCAAAATTGCCAATTCCGGTCGATTACTGGTTAATTCATGATCATAATTTATTACTCAAACTTGTTTAGCAATTTTAAACATTGTTGTATTTGGCTCAGAGGATGTTTGAAGATGTTGCTCTAAGGAGCAACAGACTATCATCTGGATCGGCTTGCTGTTGGAAAGACTCCTTCCAGCAGTATTCTGTACGACCTTTGTTCTTTCTACACGACATACCCAACTCATATGAACTCTACCCCAGATCTAGCCCATTTCTAGGTCAATTATATTCAATCCATGGATCACATCACTAATTATACGCCACAAGCTTCAAGCTTGCATGTTAATTACTTGATGACGTATATGGTGGATCATATCACTCCGGCCCCAAAGTCTGGCAGCCCAAAAATATACCGATTTAGGTTACTTTCACACCTTAGGGCCTTTTCTCAAGATTTTTTAAGAGTATTATTAATGCTAGAATATGACATCTGAATTCAGAAGGAAGTAGTTAAATTTTAAAGACTTACGAGGGTATAAGCTGGTCTCTAACAGTGTCTTCCATAAGTTTGAGGAGTTCTCCCCTTTTAGATGCAGGAATCCTGTAGATATATTTTGAAAGGTGTTGCGTATCTGATTATTGTGATCCATTCGGTTGGTTATCAAATGATTGGTTCGATTGATTGATAACCATTTGTTGCAATGATTGTGAGCACAATGATTGAAATCGAGTTCAATTCATGAGGCTATGTCTGACACATTGATCTTTATAGAAGCAAATTAAGTTAAAATAAGGATTCTTTGAAGTGATACTATGTTAATGACTCATTAATTCAATCAAATTACATTTTTGTTAAGTGAACCAATATTTTGAATGATCGAGGAGGAATCAGGAATAAAATTCTTCCCTTAGAGAGCTTATGCTAATTATAATATATAATATTACCTGAACATTTGAGTCTTGAGGTCACTTAAGATGCTAAATGACTTGTTAAAGTCAAGATCCTTATCTGCAGTACTGGGGCCTGGTACCTCCTCACTAGAACACGATTGATCGATTACTTCGATTGGTTCATTAGTGCATGATCCCTCATCTTCATCCGGCAGCTGATGGTCACGGTCGGGGCCAAAATAAACTTGCTGAGGTAACTCAGTAGAAACGTTTCTACCTAGAGTGCTGTCGACGCTGAGATGAGGACTTAGTCTGAAAAAATCTTGGTAAACTTTTAACAATAATTTGTATTTATAGGATGACAGCTGATAGCCAAAACTTTAAGTTACAAATTGCTAGTGAGCTAGTGAGAAGAAACAGTTTTAAAAATAGTTTTATATTTTCTGTTAACAATTTTTAGCAAATTAAAGAATAATATTGACGTCTGATGAAATTAATTCACTAAGATTGATGCATGCAGGTTGATTACTGAAAATCCAGAACAGTGTGTCCCCTGTTCGGACACACCCGGACAGGGGAGGGGGTGATCTGAAAATCTGCGATTTTTGGCGGACGTCCTCACTCAATATTTCACCCTGATCATGGAACCTTGATCATGATAGCTTCAATTTAAATTCAAGGCCAAACTTTGAACTCGACAAGGTTGCCCAGGTTATCGAAATGGTTCATGGGTTCGCCGACAGGAAATAACCCATTGACTTTATCGTGAGGCCAATCATGTTAAACAAAAAAAAGTTTTACCTGAATGTGGTCGGGAGTTGCGTCCAGTCAATTTCATATATTCTCAAAATCGCTAGCACATGTTTGCACGGTAAGGGAGGGAGGGAGGGAGGGAGGGAGGGAGGGAGGGAGGGAGGGAGGGAGGGAGGGAGGGAGGGGGAGGGAGGGAGGGAAGGAGGGAGGGAGGGAGGGAGGGAGGGAGGGAGGGAGGGAGGGAGGGAGGGAGGGAGGGAGGGAGGGAGGGAGGGAGGGAGGGAGGGAGGGAGGGAGGGAGGGAGGGAGGGAGGGAGGGAGGGAGGGAGGGAGGGAGGGTGTGAGGGTGTGAGGGAGGATGAAAGGGAGGGAGGGAGGGTGTGAGGGAGGATGAAAGGGAGGGAGGGAGGGAGGATGAAAGGGAGGGAGGGAGGGAGGGAGGGAGGGAGGGAGGGAGGGAGGGAGGGAGGGAGGGAGGGAGGGAGGGAGGGAGGGAGGGAGGGAGGGAGGGAGGGAGGGAGGGAGGGTGTGAGGGTGTGAGGGAGGATGAAAGGGAGGGAGGGAGGGTGTGAGGGAGGATGAAAGGGAGGGAGGGAGGGTGTGAGGGAGGATGAAAGGGAGGGAGGGAGGGAGGATGAAAGGGAGGGAGGGAGGATGAAAGGGAGGGAGGGAGGGAGGGAGGGAGGGAGGGAGGGAGGGAGGGAGGGAGAGAGGGAGGGAGGGAGGGAGGGAGGGAGGGAGGGGGAGGGAGGGAGGGAGGGAGGGAAGGAGGGAGGGAGGGAGGGAGGGAGGGAGGGAGGGAGGGAGGGAGGGAGGGAGGGAGGGAGGGAGAGGGGAGGGAGGGAGGGAGGGAGGGAGGGAGGGAGGGAGGGAGGGAGGGAGGGAGGGAGGGAGGGAGGGAGGGAGGGAGGGAGGGAGGGAGGGAGGGAGGGAGGGAGGGAGGGAGGGAGGGAGGGAGGGAGGGAGGGAGGGAGGGAGGGAGGGAGCTTACCAATTTTCGTGGGTTTCGTGGTGGAAGCTGAAAAAGATTCCAAACATTTCATCGGCATTTAGAGCCAAACAGTCAAGTCCCACATCTTTCAACTCCGATTGGGTGTAAGAGTTGTACTTCACATCAAGAACATCGAACACATAGCACTGGGAAGAGTTTATTCTATGTATACGCATTTCATGTATTAAACTTTATATACATTTAAGGACGTGCTTGATTATTCAAGAATAAGTAGAAATATTTAGAAAACATAGACCAGACAAACTAGGTCCTGGGAGTTAGTTTTGCAGTCTCCAAAAGAACAATATACAGCATGACAAATGAAAAACAGCAGATCTAAAAATCAAAACATATCACTGGCTATCTGGTTTCAACAAGATACTTGGACACGGTTTTGGAAAAACTCACTTGGATGTAGGCTTGACAACCAGTCTTTATGGTCTTGTTGGGTAAATCCGACCCCCGACACACTTTAACACGGGGCTTTCTTGTTATTCTTTCATCAGCCCGGCAATTGAACCTATTTATTGGAAAATAGAAATATGAATATCTTGATTCTTGACCTAAAAAAGTTGCAATGTATCAGTATAGATACATATCAATTTGATGAAGTGAAGACGGCTTTAAGTCTGTATTAAAAACCAGCAATATTTAAATCTATGTTGTTGAACAGACAAAACTAAAAACAATTAATTGTTTTAACTATCATTTATTGTTTTAACTACATAGCGTAATCGTTAATGTTTGAACAATAGTTGCTTACCTTTTTCGTTCTCTGATCCGAAAATACCGACCTTTGTGCTCCCATGTGGCAGCTGTAACTCCCGACCTTTTTATACATTTTGTATAAGTTTTTGGTTTGGAGGTTCTGGCCTGAAAAAAGCCACAGTTTAGTACGTAATCGAAATCTATTATGTTGTCATGTATTATGTAATTATGTTTTTATGTTTTCATGTAGATTGTAGCAGTGTGAATAAATCTTACTCCCTGGCTTCGAGTTACTTATATAAATATACAGATACAGTCCATAAGTTTTGAAATCAGTATTATGTTCCATTTCATGAATAGATAGTACTGAAAAAAGGTGAACCATACAAAACTGTCCATTCCCATAAGAATATAAACATATATTTTATTGTACGAAGATACAACTTGTTCGAGATAAAATAGAAAACATACCCCACTTCCTTTGACATAAAAAGCGGTTTCAGTGAACGTTTCTATTTTCTGCTTAATGTATGTGAACATTCTTTCCTTCTGGTCATGTTTCTTTATCTGATACTGTAGTGCACCATCTTTCACTTCTCGAAAGCCCTCATCGAGTAGCCACCTCAAGCTGAGAAAAATGTTAGCATAAGTAATAAGTATGTTAAATCGCAAGGACACAGCTACTACAAGATTAATTATATTCAGCATTTCGGTCCAAGCTTTTACCTTCCAGCAGCTATAATAAATATATTGGCTTAATCAACAAATAGCAGGAACCACATTCATTTTTGTTTCTTGACACCATTTAATGGATAGACGTGTTACTGACAATGGTCATAAATTATGACTCATAATGTAAATATATACTGTTAACCTTCAACAGTACTGATATAAATACTGATACCAATACATTTGTCTGAACTATTAAAGAAACACACGCCAAAGAAAATTAATATTAATTTATAAGATTCAATGTTGAGAAGGTATAATGGTATCCCATATTACACATTCATAAAAGTATACACCAAACATATGGAACGTATGAGAGATGGACACAGTTTAGAAGTGAAATTTAAGTGGGGTTAAAGGCTAGCTTTTTTTCTATTGATAAAGGCTAGCTTTTTGTTGTTGTTGATACATTAGTAGTAAGTACACAGTGGATTAAATCACATTAAAATAGAAGTATTAACTGGCTCACATAAATATTAGGTTCGCTTATAACAGCTGAAATAAAACAAACTCAGAAACGGAACTCCAAAATCGTATACTAAATTATAAGGTGACTCAACTCAACTGCAATGTTATAGAGCGATACTGAATTAATCGACCTAAATATCATACAATATATATTCTGAAAAACAGGAATATATTGTACAATGTACATTGTACAACACATACAATAAGTAACTAATACAGATCATACTGCAATACAAATTTTACAATATCAAATTGTTAAATAGAAGGAACTAGATGTACTGATTACTTAATCTATAACTGTCCCTATATATAATCTACAAGAAATTATTCAATTTTTAAATAGAAGCAACTCTGAATCGAATTGTCCCCATCTACAGGAAATCATTAAATTATTAAATAGAAAGAACTAGATGTAGTGATTACTTAATGATCTTTAAATCTAATTGTCCCTATCTACTGGAAATTATTAAATAGAAGGAACTAGATGTACTGATTTCTTAATGATCTTTAAATCTAATTGTCCCTATCTACTGGAAATTATTAAATAGAAGGAACTAGATGTACTGATTTCTTAATGATCTTTAAATCTAATTGTCCCTATCTACTGGAAATTATTAAATAGAAGGAACTAGATGTACTGATTACTTAATGATCTTTAAATCTAATTGTCCCTATCTACTGGAAATTATTAAATCATTAAATAGAAAGAACTAGATGTACTGATTACTTATACTCAATGATCTCTAAATCTAATTGTCCCCATCTACTGGAAATCATTAAACTATTAAAAAGTGATTACTTAATGATCATCTTTAAATCTAATTGTCCCCATCTACTGGAAATCATTAAACTATTAAAAAGTGATTACTTAATGATCTTTAAATATAATTGTCCCTATCTACTGGAAATTATTAAATTATTAAATAGAAAGAACTAGATGTACTGATAACTTATACTCAATGATCTCTAAATCTAATTGTCCCCATCTACTGGAGATCATTAAACTATTAAAAAGTGATTACTTAATGATCTTTAAATCTAATTGTCCCCATCTACTGGAAATCATTAAACTATTAAAAAGTGATTACTTGATGATCTTTAAATCTAATTGTCCCTATCTACTGGAAATTATTGACTTGTTAAATAGAAGGAACTAGATGTACTGATTACTTAATGATCTTTAAATCTTATTGTCCCCATCTACTGGAAATTATTAAATTATTAAATAGAAGGAACTAAATGTACTGATTACTTAATGATATTCAAGTCTTATTGTCCCCATCTACTGGAAATTATTGAATTATTAAATAGAAGGAACTAGATGTACTTATTATTTAATGATCTTTAAATCCAATTGTCCCTATCTACTGGAAATTATTAAATTATTAAATAGAAGGAACTAGATGTAGTGATTACTTAATGATCTCTAAATCTAATTGTCCCCATCTACTGGAAATTATTGAATTTTTAAATAAAAGGAACTTATAGATGTACTGATTACTTATAATGATCTCTAAATCTAATTGTCCCTATCTAGTAGGAATCATTAAACTATTAAATAGAAGGAACTAGATGTACTGATCTCTAAATCTAATTGTCCCCATCTACTGGAAATCATTAAATTATTAAAAAGAAGGAACTAGATGTACTGATTACTTAATGATCTTTTAATCTAATTGTCCCTATCTACTGGAAATTATTGAATTGTTAAATAAAAGGAACTAGAATACTAGATGTACTGATTACTTAATGATATTTAAATATAATTGTCCCTATCTACTGGAAATTATTGAATTGTTAAATAAAAGGAACTAGAATACTAGATGTACTGATTACTTAATGATATTTAAATCTAATTGTCCCCATCTACTGGAAATCATTAAACTATTAAAAAGTGATTACTTAATGATCTTTAAATCTAATTGTCCCCATCTACTGGAAATTATTAAAAGAAGGAACTAGATGTACTGATTGTCCCCATCTACTGGAAATCATTAAACTATTAAAAAGTGATTACTTAATGATCTTTTAATCTAATTGTCCCTATCTACTGGAAATTATTGAATTGTTAAATAAAAGGAACTAGAATACTAGATGTACTGATTACTTAATGATATTTAAATCTAATTGTCCCCATCTACAGGAAATCATTAAATTATTAAATAGAAAGAACTAGATGTAGTGATTACTTAATGATCTCTAAATCTAATTGTCCCCAACTACTGGAAATCATTAAACTATTAAAAAGTGATTACTTAATGATCTTTAAATCTAATTGTCCCCATCTACTGGAAATTATTAAAAAGAAGGAACTAGATGTACTGATTACTTAATGATCTTTAAATCTAATTGTCCCCATCTACTGGAAATTATTAAACTATTAAATAGAAGGAACTAGATGTACTGATTACTTAATGATCTTTAAATCTAATTGTCCCCATCTACTGGAAATTATTAAACTATTAAATAGAAGGAACTAGATGTACTGATTACTTAATGATCTTTAAATCTAATTGTCCCCATCTACTGGAAATTATTAAATTATTAAATAGAAGGAACTTATAGATGTACTTATTATTTAATGATTTTTAAATCCAATTGTCCCTATCTACTGGAAATTATTAAATTATTAAATAGAAGGAACTAGATGTACTGATCTCTAAATCTAATTGTCCCCATCTACTGGAAATCATTAAACTATTAAATAGAAGGAACTAGATGTACTGATTACTTAATGATCTCTAAATCTAATTGTCCCCATCTACTGGAAATTATTGAATTGGAAATCAATAAATTATTAAATAGAAGGAACTAGATGTACTGATAACTTAATGATCTCTAAATTTAATTGTCCCCATCTACTGGAAATTATTGAATTGTTAAATAGAAGGAACTTATAGATGTACTGATTACTTATAATGATCTCTAAATCTAATTGTCCCTATCTACTGGAAATTATTGAATTGTTAAATAAAAGGAACTAGAATACTAGATGTACTGATTACTTAATGATATTTAAATCTAATTGTCCCTATCTAGTAGGAATCATTAAACTATTAAGTAAAAGGAACTAGATGTACTGATTACTTAATGATCTCTAAATCTAATTGTCCCCATCTACTGGAAATCATTAAATTATTAAATAGAAGGAACTAGATGTAGTGATTACTTAAATGATCTCTAAATCTAATTGTCCCTATCTAGTAGAAATCATTAAACTATTAAATAGAAGGAACTAGATGTACTGATCTCTAAATCTAGTTGTACCCAT